AAGGAAAATTAGTTATTTTTAGAAATAATCTGTTTAAGAGGAAGTGTATTGTCCATTATTCTCATTACCATTTGTTTCATACTAAAGGTATTCAGGATTTTTTACAGTACAGGTCAGATTATTTTTGAAGGCAACTTTAAATTTTAAAGTGAGTAAATATCCCTTTTTTTATATAATTGTCTTTTAATTACATGAGTGAATGGATAACGTGTAGTTTTATAATTGTACTGGCAGTTTTAGTAAAAGATTCAGAATTTTTTTACTTAATATCTTAAAAGTTATTACAAATACTTGAACAATTTGATCTGTTAAAAATAATTATTAGATATGTTCAGATTTCTTTTTACAAAATTTTATACAATAAGGGCATAGGTTTTCTTCATAGAATGTTTCTCTGCATGAAAAAAAACTGCTAAATGAAGAGGCGTTTTGCCATAATTTACCAAGAGCTTAATTGCATGTTAATTATCATACCTTCCATTGAAGGAATCCTTGTTGCTACACACACGGTTCTCAAAATGTTCAAAAATCCTACGTAAATGAGCATCAAAGAGCAATCCCTCTTTTTCTCAATTTGCCTAATGAAACACATTTTCAGGGACAACCACTGTAGCACAGAGACTTTCTGTGATATAATGATTCATGACTGAGGTAAAGTGCAAGCAAAACAAAGTAAATAAATCATTTTTTACAGCACAAAATGAAAGAAAGCTCTATATGATGGATTTGTCTAAAACTTATTGTCTTTCCATTGTTGCTGAAGTGTTAAGGCTGATGGATATTGATAATAAGTATTCTGTTTAGTTTTGACTGAATGACAGACACCTCATAAATCTTAAAGTTAATTTCTTTTCAACTGCATCATTTATATGTTTTGAATACTGGCTAAGATCAGAAGAAATGTTCCTCTGTAACACTCACACTATATGCATCATCTGCGCTTTTTGCCTTGTAATGCTCAGAGGAATCATTCTTATGTTGCTTTGACAAATGACAACAGCTCACCCCTCCGGGTATTAAAATTCTTGTTCATCTTTCATGTTTACCCTCACATGGCCACAGGTATAAATACAACCAAAGTACTTCAATTAAACAATGCTTTACACTGCTTCTTCTTTTGTGTTTTCACATGTCTTTCTTTTCATTCTACTGCAGGCTTTCTGAAAACATCTTAGTTGTGTGGCATCAAAAGTACCTCTAGTCTGAGAGCTAAAGCTGAGATATATTGTGTCCCACATTAACTCATTTTAATTTATATATCAACAAACTGAACTCTTTAACACCCTCCTGTCCAAACTGCTGTAGATATATTAACTTAAATGTCAGAGCCTTTAATTCATGCACGGTGTGCTCTGTCATAATTGTTTGGGATCTAAATATCTAACAAACTTTGTGAGGCTTTACAAGGCATGTTGTTTTTTTTATGTTGTTTATAATAGACTGTTTTGGGATTGACCATATACATAATGTAACATTGATAGTAGATTACGTTTATCAATAATTTTCAGAGGCGAATAAATTAGGAAGAAATTAATAATAATATTCTTAACCCGGTGGTGTTGGTTAACACATTCTATGTATTAAAGCAAATACATAGAATGCAACTGAATCTCTTCATGCATAAACATTAAAATGTTTCTTTACAAAACCCTTACAAAATCCATATTTTCAAATTTCCTGTAATCTACTCTATTTCGATTTATATGTCAGGCCAAAACAAACTACCATATAATTTCTAGGGCTAAGAAAGAAATATGTGTGGAAATAATTTTGCCAAGAGATCTGAAAATTGTGCCACGCAATACCTTCCACAATTTTCTCCATTGGAAAGGGTTTTCTCTTTGAAGTGCAGTGTTAGTGTTTTGCAAAATGTATTATTCTGTTATAGACCACAAGGTTACATTTCATTTTCATCTGACACAGCAAGCATGTGTCTTCTTGTTATTTGTTTGCTGTGCCCTCTGCAAACTTCGAATGGCTTTTAACAAGTGATGTCACTTTGAATGATTTGTATCACTTATTTTTTGCTTTTTGAGATTTTTAAACTATTGTTTCATAAAGTAGCCCTTCTTCATTTTTTTAACAACTTCAGAATGGAATTTTCCTGATATCTATGATGCATTTTACCAAATTACACGTTAGCAAGTTTTTATTTACTGATTTAAAGCTATTTCTAGGACTGTGAATTCAGTTAGAGGTGTTGTAGAAAATAGGCTGAATCCAAATGCTAATGTATTTTATTTGTGTAAAACAAACCAAAAATGCTATTAGATTATAACCCATAAAACCCAATATCATGTTCCTTCTTGTAGACAGTTATGAGCTAAGCAATATCAATATTCAGTGTAAAATTCTCAATAAAATAGACTGAAGTTGAGAATTTGTGCAGAAAAGTGGAGCAAAGATCTTTAATTTGTTGGCAGTTCCATCCCTTTGGGTAAGTAGAGCTTTACATGAGAAACGTTTGAGAGGGTCATACTTTGTCTGTTATATTGGTGACTAATGCAGGAGTTTTATTTAAACCTAATCTTTGAGTTTTGGTATTCTGTGTTTACATTCATATGTACGGCTTTTGGCCCAAGCATCTACGTTTGCTTATTTATTCTTTTTCACACCGTTACCGTGTAATAATTAAGGTGATCAGCTCAGACCAAATAATGGAGTGAGAATATTTTCACAAATTAGTTTATTTACTCAACCTAAACCTGAAAACCTTGTGCTGTTATTTTTATGATGACCTTCAAAGATTAAAAAAAAGATATAGTTGACCAACTAGGATTTTCTTTCTATAAAAAAAAAAGGTTTATAATGAAGGACACCAGCAGATATAGCAGGATAGAAGAGATAGCATGACTCTAGTGGTCACATCTGGCCATTAGCTTAACTAAATGTTGTTTTTTCTTACATTCAAGACAGCTGTACATTTCTCTTTGGGCACAAGGGTTCACACAGAAGCTTTCAGCTTCCTTTCAGCCAAACAGATGCGGACACAATTAACTCAGACTCAAAGATCTATTGAACGAGGCTTTGAAGAGGAGTACTTTATGATGTTGAAGATCGTTATCGGCATCAAAAGTGCTATGGTGTTTGTAGGTACCTGGCGGCTTCTCCCTTTTCTTTAATTATTATAGCCTTTTCTAAATGTTATAGTTCATTATGCAAACAGAAAAACAGCTTTCTTGGTGCTACCCCAGGGAAGTGATGCTTATAATCAGAAGCTAGACATTGGATAGTAATCTTTAGTCCTACTCACCTTATGAAACGTTTTTTCCTAAAACACAATCAGATTAACAACAAGGGTTTCGAGGCCAACAATTAAAGCATGGATCTAAACTTTGAAGGAAGTTTCTCTTGAATGCGTTATGAAAAGTTAATGTCATTCATGCAATGGATTACTCTCTAGGCATTATTATTTAGCATGAGTTCAGAATAGATTGTCCCAGCAGCTAAAGTTAACAGTCAGTCAAAGAAAGGGCCAAGACCAAAACAAAACATTGTATAATAAAAAAAATACATAAATCATAGCAGTTTATTTGAGCAAAATGTTGCCAATTTTGAAAACATCAACATATTTGCAAATTATGATTATTCACAAAGAAGCTAATGATTGAATGCAAAGAAGAGGATGCTGGAGGCAGTGGACCTATCCAAAATGGAACATGTTTTAACCAAATGTTATCATTTATAGTGAAGTAATTTTCAGATTTAAATTAAATGTAAAAAAGGAATCAGATTTTAGTGGTTTAAGTCTAAGCTATTTTTTTTAACATTTCAAGTGGTTTCTTTGAAAAAAAAAACCTCTTAATTTAATTACTAAAGTGTTTTTCACACCGTTTGAGAATTGCCCTTGCACTTCTTCTGCCTCCATTTGTGCAAATATTCATAATGCCATTTGTAAAACCTTTCAGTCTAAACATGACAATGGCTTAAATGTTAATAAGCGGACCTTTATATAAACCAATCTATGCTTGTTTTGGTCTTGGTACTTTCTCAGACCAAGAGAACTATCTACTGCAGGTAAGATATTCACTACTGCTGAAAAAAATTTGATAGAACCTCATTTTAAAAATGCTGTAACAGTCCTTAAAAGAAGAGTCAAGGCTTAAAACCTCCATATCACTGGCTGATGCATTGCATTGTCTGATGTACTAACATAAGTTATGTGTGAATCTGTTGTTAATGCATCACGTGTAATATCAAACAGCAAACAACCATCTCATTAGGCCCACACTGCCAGAAGTAATGCTAGTCTTAAATCAAAACTTGAAGTAACAAATAATTTGCATAAGCTATTTAAGTATTGATTAGTTTCCCAGATTTACTTCAAACGGCTGATGCAAATTCAAATGGCATTATTTCTAGCATCACTTTTCTCAGTGTCGGAGCACTGTTCTCATTGTGTCTTTGTTCCTGTGTGGGAAACAAAGAGGACATTACCTGTAATGTATACAGCTCAGAATACGTTTCTACACGGTCATATTTTGGGGTTTTCTCCAAACAAAAAGAAGGGACATGAAAATGTAAGTTTACTGAGGAAACTGTGGATCAATAGCATGCTATGTCCATGACCCCTTCCTATGTGGCTTTCTGATGGCTTACACATTTTTACTTTCATTTCTATATATTTCTTTTATGGGTTTATAGGAGGGAGGGAAGGAGGGTGGGTTTGTAGCTGGTCGAATAAGTTGCTAAAGTCTTCTAAACCAAAATGAGATTACCTGCATGTTTGCTATGTGTCTTCGCTGTGCTTTCAAGTTTAATTAATACTTCCAACTCACCCTAAAAAATTTGTTTCATTGTTCTATGCTAGAACAAAATACATACATATATATATTTCTATACTTATATAAAAAGGAAAAAAAAAAACTTGTGTGGTCTTTGTTTCTAGCCATGTTTTGCAGTTTGCTTCAGATATCTTGAAAACAGAATGTAATAAGCTTTTGTTCTATAAGATCATGTTTAAGCTTAGATTTCATATGAACCTCTATTTTGTCCCATAGAATATGGAATGATCGGAGAGCATACTGTAAAAAGTCAGCGGCCACGATCAGTTCATGACACAAAGGCCCTGAAGGAGCAAGCTGAATCTGCTAAATTTATGGCACAAACTGGTAATGCAATAGTTATGTTTCTTTATTTTTTTTTGTCAACTAAACTTAATTTCATCATGCATGCTCTCTCTTGTACTGCACTTTTCAGGTGAAAATGTTTTGCATTCTTATTTTTTCCTACCCATTCTCAAACGCTACATATAAAAATGAGGACGGAAAAATTCCCCATCCCTTCATGAGTATTTACTTTGGACTTAGAGGCTAATTGGGTTTGTGTGAGTGTTTGTTTTATTTTCATAAAGTGAGGTGACATGTGGCTTATGCACACTGCATTTTTAAACAATAGTTAATCTAATTAAATGGCAGTTCAAACTAAGGGAATGATGTGGGCGTTTTGTTCTAGACTTGATAAACTAAATGTCATTTGATAGTAAAAAACACCCCTTAAGCCCCACCAGAAAAAAACCTTTCTAAAAATGAACTGATAGATGATGCCTTTAGGGAATCACCAAAGCTTTATGGCTTCTTCACATGTAGCATCAAATTAATTGTTAAAGTTTTCTAAATTTATTTAATGATCTGTAGGACATGTCACCCTATTTCTCAATATAATAAAAAATCCAATAAGGCCAATAGGAAATCTAAATGTTTATCGGTTAGTTGTAAGAAGTTTTTGTTTTGTTTTTTAAGTTAGATCGTTTTTGACAGGGGTGGGTTTATATCTAATCATTAATGAGATTTTTGCTTTTATTTTTGTCATGTGTTGCTCCATTTATATTATTGTTGTTGTTTGACAACTGTCTTTCCTTTCATTGCTGTTTTTATTTACAAAACACTCTACATCCAATACATACCTGCTTGTACTAATATACACCCATTAACATCTCTCCTCTGCCGCAGGTGTGTCTGTTCCCCTGTTTGGTCACATAGCTGGGCTTTTCTGTTTCTCATTCGCATCCAATTTACTCTCCCTATACTGCCTCATTGAACAAATTGATCCACCTTTCAATTTATTTTATGATCTCCAAAAAAATAAAGCCAGGATTAAGCTTCTATTAAGGCGGAAATTGTGTCCCTTGACACAACCTTAAAGCATACAATGTTATGTTGTTTTGTTATTCTGATCCAGTCTGATGACTTGCAATGACATAAATGTATTCAGAGCTGCAACAAAAAAATGTTCATCTCTGTGTTAAATTGTTTCTCTTGCATATTAAGCCTCAAAGCAAATTAATATTTCACCTGGGGGTTTGACATAATCAGAAGTCAATTATTCGATGACAACTCTCGTGAAAGATTTTGTCTCCACAACTCCAACTAAATGACTCCTTGTGCATGTAGATAATCATCAATTTGGAATTCATGTTAATGCTTCATTGTAATATTATAATGTTATTTACTTCATAATCTGTACAGGCATAACATTTTCAGTATTTTAGGGCATTTTGGATCCTATTTTTGATCACAGACTTATGGACCATAAAAAAATCAATTGAGAAATTAAAAATCAGCTAATTAAATTTATCCAGACTTAAAGGTTTGATCCTTGAAAACAAAATGTTTACTTTATGATTCAAAGACAGTTTGTTGAGTGGATTTTGGGGCACCCACAATTCAAAGAAAATTTGCCTAAAAATTGTATGATCTGATAAAAAAAACAATAAAATGTAGTCTCAGTGATAAGGTGGTTATACTTTTAAAAATAAACAGAGGCAAACAAACTTAGTCTAATGTCGTCAAATCTAAATGGCTCTAAGCAGTGCAAGGGAATCCTCCTCTAAACCCTTTTTTTCCTAAACTAACACCCATTATATTCCACTTTCTTTCTTTCTTTTCAGTTGTTGTCTTTCTTGCATGTCACCACACTCTTTTGTTGGTAGTGATCTGCCAATTAGCCTTTTTTTTAAATGCATGCATATTTTCAAAAATAAATGAAGTGAAATTAGATATAATCAATGCCTACTATAATGCCTTCTCTGTGATCTTTGTATAAATACACATTTTCATTTTCCCAAAGAAGTCTGTTTTTTGTTTTTTTACATAGTTATGTGAAACTGCAATTATAATTAATGCAGCTACTCTAACTGCGGTTGCAAAAACACATATTTGCTGCATGCAAATTGAATATGAAACCAAATCATTTAAGCTCGCGTATTCATCAAAGATCACAAAAAAGTGGCCAAACTGTTTAATAGAGGTCCTCTGAATCCTTAGACTCCCCTTTCTAACCCTAACGTAAATCCTGTTGGCCCTATTCAGCTTTACTTAACCCAGCCCAACTTGCCCCATCCTAGCTCCTTAAACCGCGCCACAGGACCGTATTGCTGCATTTAACTAGTGTCACCCTTCTCCCACACAGGTGAATCAGGTGCAGAGGAGTGGTCCCAGTGGAGCTCATGCTCTGTAACATGCGGTCAAGGGTCGCAGGTGCGAACAAGAACATGTGTCTCACCATACGGAACACACTGCAGCGGCCCTTTAAGAGAATCAAGGGTTTGCAATAACACTGCCCCTTGTCCAGGTAGTGTTAGCCCGCAGATTCTTGACTATGAATGTTTTGCTTCTTTGTTGTTGATATGGGAGGAATATTATTGTTCTGTTCTAACAAAACTTTAATTGTGTCTATTTAAGAATGTTTTTGTTTTTTATCATTTAGAGATATTAATGAATTTAAACTTCCCTTTTTTGTGAATACTTTGTAATTATTTTTGTTTTTTTCTTTCTTCCATCACCACTTTTTGTGTTTTCATAGTCCATATAAGTGTAAAGCAATACATCAGCATCAAAAAATGGTTTTATGACATGTGGATCTCCAAGGAGCTTGGGGAGTTGTAGGTATTGATATTGTACCGTAATTTGAGGGTCAACTGTGCGTTTTAAGATAGCATTCGAGTGTTTCTCTAAAACAGCTGTGAGGCATTTCATCATAAACTTATGATGGCGTGGCAAATGAGTCATTGGCAGCCAGATATCAGAATCCAAAGCTTTTCTGACTAGTGATTGCAGCATTCTAATGCTTGTTAGTATGCATCTGAAAGGAACACAGGCCCCCTTGTCACCATTATCCATTTTTGGAAATATTTACACAGATAAATAAGTAGATTTAGTAATTAGATTCTGCACTCATGTTTAGTTTGATGATGCTGATAAGTACGGCGCTTCTGAGACTACTTTGCAAACACCAGAGTAATTGAAATGATTAAAAAAACACTAAAAGCTGCATCCTCTGAAAGCTTTTAAGATTTTTGATAAACCATTTTTTTTTCCAGATGGGGCATGTTTAAGTAAGAAATAAGTAGCTTCCAGGCAGGTATTTCTTTTATGTTGTTGTTTATTTTAGTTTTTTTTTTTTATTTAAACCCCTAGAAAATGCAGATTCTCACACTGTAGCAATATAATTTGATTTAACACAAATATTTTCCTTCAAGACAACTGTTTAATGAAGACCTAGTGTTTTTCAGTATCTTTTCTGTTTCCTTAGCTGTATAAATTTTTTTATGCTTCTTTCTTTGTAAGTCCTACTGTAGCAAAATAAAATAAAGATAATTTGATGACATAATGTAATAAAATCAGGACCTAATCTTCTGAAACCACTGTATCTTCACAATTCAGCTGATATTTAGTTTAGTCAGAGATACAGACATAGCATATATATATATATATATATATATATATATATATATATATATATATATATATATATATATATATATATATATATATATATATATATATATATATATGTGTGCGTGTGTGTGCGTGTATCTTTCCTTCAGCTTTCAGTTGTATACCAGGATGGAAATATACCCAATAATGGATAAATATTTTTATGTAACACTTCACGTCTAAGACAAACTCATGTCTTGTAGTGACAATCAGTGAAAACAGCAACAGCACTGGTGAGCACTGCAGGGTGAAATCAAACATGCTGTTAGAAAACCGAGGCTCCCACAAAAGTTTTTATGCTGCTCTCAAAACAATGCATCTGCCAAAATACATTTCTTCTTCATGAAAAATCATCTTTGATTCACTAGTCTACTTTAGAAATGAAGTGACAGAGATTTTGCTTTGCCTTTGATTAGTGTTCCCTATATTTTGCAGAAGGAAAACAAGAAATTTGATCCCAGATTTTCACCGTGAAGGATATGCACTATTTTACCAATAATTTATGCTAAATATAACACTAATAATCAATGTTAAATAGTTTTTTATTGAGGTGCATATTTATCCATGCTGACAAATGTCACAATATAGCTTAATAAAAAGATGAGCAAACATGTATTTTTATATTTTAAAGTAGCAATTAATCTGTTCTTATGACGGTATGATTATAAGCAAAGCCACTACAATTTATTTAATCATTTATTCTCAGTATTAAAAATATGGCATTGATCAAAAAAATTTATCACATTTATTTATATATTTTTAAACTAGACTGTCAAAGAATATCATAACTTTTTAATATCATTGTTATCATACATATAACAATGGTATTTGTAATAAATTACAATCATGGTAATGAAAAATTTATGTTATTTGTTCAGTAATCACAAAATGGGCTTCAGATAATTAGCTTATTCACTAGTAGCATTTTAAAAATTAACAATCAAGGACAAAAATGTTATTTTTAAAATGATAATTAAGATTAAATTAGAACATTATAATACTAATAATAAAGAAAAAGTAAATTACATTCAAAGATCACTTTCAAGTTCTATGCTTAATACAGATGTTTGACTGGCCAATAAATTTACTTTAAAAAATAGACTTGCTAAATTCCAATGGATTTCAAAATAGATGCATTTATTGTACATAAAGTTATGCTTTTCTAACATTCCATTTTTGAAAAATAATGCCAGGCCTAAAGGATAGATGTCATTTAGTTGTTTTCTTTCAGCCTGCTTCTATCTTTTAGCCTGCTGTATTAATTTGTAAAATGCTATTATCTCAAAAACATAAATGCACTGAACACTGATGGCCTCTGCTGTTTACATCTGAAAAAACATTCAAAACTAAACTTTTTGCAGGTAGGGTGGTGCTGCCACACAATGTGCCATATCAAAAAATGTTAAAGGACTAAGAGATGCTGTAGACTAATGTAAGCCTAATATATTTAAAGATTATCTCTACCCCCTTCCACATTAATGCTAGAACATACAGCAAAGTAGCAATCATTCTACAAGAAATAAAAAAAATGTCATTATTGCTGTCAATTTTAGAATACTAACATAGAAACACACAATAGAAAGGTGAGGAACAGTAGACAACTGTTCCTCACTACAGTAGACAGCTGTGCACGCAGTCCTGGCGACATAACATTAATATTAATATGTCGGTTTCAGCAGCAATACATTTCAATTATTTTCCTGATAATTTCCTAGCACTGCTCAATGTTATTTTAAGTTACTATATTGTCTTTAACGAGTAAAAGATTTATGTTATGATAGTCTATACCCACACAATAAGGAACCCAGTTTTACTCTAAGCTACATATGGCCAGAAAGAAGTCCCTCATGGTGCAGTGGTTTAAGTATCTGCTTGTCATTTTGGAGGAACACAGGTTTGATTCCTGCTTATAGAAGGAAGTTTATCCAGCAGAAAACCTTTGGTAAGTCTAATGAGCAAGTCATAATGCATAGATGTTCCTGATTAAAGGAGCAGCCAAATGGTCACAAATAGAAGAATGGCTAGAAAATGCTGAGCGGTGGTTATATTATCACTTCAACCAAAATGTAAACTACAGAAATAGTATAATGGACAGTTTTGGTGGTTTGGAACCTGTGAGTTTTTAAACCTATGATATATTTTACATCAGAAACCAACCCACACAACACCCACACGTAGTAAACTTTGGAGGTTTTGTTCATTTTTAAGCTTAAATCTTCTAACAGTAGCCTTGAACCTGTAATCCAGATTCAGGATACTTTATAACATTGTGTAAAGTTTATATTGCAAATTTAAACCATAACCAGAGGCATCATATTCTAATGTTGATGATAATCAAAATCATAACTATGATCAAAATCATCAACAACTATTGTTCCATTCTGAAGTGGATTATGTACATAAATAAATTCCCAGACTGTAATGCAAAGAGCATTTTTGTTGCCAATAAAAAAGAAAGTTATGAAGGCAAAAAGGTATTTGATTTAGAAATCCCTGTTGTCTGACTCCAAGATAACAAGGTAACAGGGTCGTAGCTCGCTGAGAAGTCTGTGCAAAATCTATTTGATTTCAAAATATTCATGTTAAATGCAAAAATATTACATTATGTTTTGTAAATGTTTTGACCCTGGTCTTAATATGGTTTAAAATTTGCACTTATGGTTTTCACAACATTGTTACTTTTTGCCATAATAGTGGTTGTAGTAAGAAAAAAAAGAAAAAAAAAGACAGAGACTGAAACCTGTTTCATCAGGTTGTGTTGAATGGCCGCTTTGAACCCTAAATTTTCAAAGTAAACGCATTAACCACAAGGGGAATCTTAGCTTAGAGCATCAAAGCATTACCTGGAGGCAGGGACAGATGATAGCATGCCTCCCAACTATCACACTGATCCCAAGATTTGTGCTTTATGGATAGTGACCCTTCTGAGGAGCAATAATCCATTCCCTATGGAGAAAAACCTATTACCAGTTAAAAGATGAAAAAGGCCAATGGAGATCCTGGATATATGTAGTTTCAACCTTCCTAAAATTGCACAACTAAGATGCTTTTTATCTTTCGGATCTGAAAATATATATATATTTTTTTTTATTTACACAGCTGGATCAATACATTCCTTTTATTTCTATTGAGTTACAATTGAGTGATATGCAAAAGTAAAATATTTTTTGTAGTTCAGTTTTTATCTGTGAACGCATTTTTGAGTTCCATTAATAAGTCTGCTGGATCTTCAAACATTTAACAAGAAGTGTATTTAATTATTCGAAGCGTCAGGCAAAACAGGAGGCTGCATATTTATGCCTTTCAGATTCCCATGTTTTGGTTTCCACAAATAGAAAATATATCCTGTGAAAAAATTGTTTAAAGCACAGAAAAAATAACCATATTTCCATATTTCAACTGAGAGATGGTTAAGTTTCAACACTCCACAGTGATGCTGCATTTCAGTGGCTGCTGTTCATAAAAAGGTTGTTTTATGCAAAAAATAGTTAGAAAAAATGGTCTATGAAAAAGACATACCAGTTATGTTTACCTAGTAAAATTATTTATTTGCTTTTAAAGTTTAAATATTACATTTGATATTCAGTTATTGGGTAAAACTTCATCAAATAACAGGAAACAGCTTTAGATTAGTTGTGGCAAATGTACATGTTAGAATAAGAGATATAAAGGTTCTTATTTTTATTGTTATAGATTCTTCTAACCTCATATATCATGGGGTTGATCGGTATGCCATAAGAGTCTAAAAATAGAAACACATAATGCTTTAGAATTTAGAATAAATATAAAATAGATTTCACATGATAATTTGCTGGAAAGGTTACTACTTGAAAAGCTCTAAAATATAGCCATATTTTGACTTGTGAGGGAACCCCAGGATATTTATTGTGGTGTCTTGACAGATTCCTTGAACCATCATCTAGTCACATTTATCCACAGCTTTTATTTTCCCTGTCTAACCAGTAGCCTCAAGCTAAAAGAGATAGGCTAAGTCCTAGATGTGTGTAGAACAACCATGCAGGATTTACTTCCTTTATTCTTCATATTATTTCATTTTCTGTGGTTTTGCAAATACCAGATAGAGCAGAGAAGATGGATACCCCTGGCAGAGTTTAGCGAATCCAGCACTGTGTGTTGCGTGTTTTACTAACATGTGGCTAAATTCTGTGATTGATTTTTCTTTTCTTTTCTGGCTCAGTGAGGTTTGAGTGGTTTCTGTATGCTGTAAAAGAGACATAGACATTGATTAGGCCTGACGCCCTTTCTGTGCCCGCAGTACATGGTGTATGGGAGGAGTGGTCACCGTGGAGCCTTTGCTCATTCACATGTGGCCGGGGTCACCGCACTAGGACTAGGATGTGTGCTCCTCCCCAGCACGGTGGCAGGGCCTGTGATGGACCTGAGACCCAGACTAAACTTTGCAACATTGCCCTGTGCCCAGGTACCATCTGTCCGCCATCTAAATATGTTTATATCTTACAAGTTTAACTAAATTCTTTAAAGACACAAAATGGGCTTTAAAAACATTGAAAAGCTTCTTTCAATAGGTCAGTTCATCTGAATTACACAGTTTGAGCTGTGCCATCTTTAATAATGAAATACTATTAAGGTAAGTCAGAAGAATTGCATAGAGGACTTGTGCTGCATTCAGGCTTTCTTGCACAATGATACAGCTTAAGGAACCCTGTTGAGATTGAAGACTGTAGACTGTAACCGACATCAAAATCACTTAGTTGAAATTGACAGAAAATGGTAAGCAGATTAGTGATGATTACTTTTTTCACATAGTGAATGTTAAATGTGCACTGGAAGCAGATTCTGTGCATATTCTTCCATTTCTAAAGCTCTTTTTCTGGAAACAGCTACCAGAAATCTATTAATCCTCATAAGATAAGTTTTGATATGAGGAATAGTTCAAAAAATGTTATCATTATCATGTTTGAGTAAAATTTCCCAAAGGCTAATTCAGATTCAATCAAGTTAACAAAAATAACCACAATGCCTTGCAAAAATATTCAAACATTTTAAATTTCAATTGTCATTATTCATGTACTAGACATGTGAAAAACAAGATGCATGGATCTGATAAAACCAAAACTACATGCAGAATGTTATATGCGATGAATTATCTACGCACATCCCCCTAAACAGAGCATCCCATGGTTGACACATGGTGGTGTCAGCATGACACTGTGGGGATGCTTTATTATATTGGCATTGTTGCGGGTGATGAGAACATGAATGGACCTAAATACAGGAAAAAAACAAACAGCAAACTGCAAGAAGTGAAGACTGAAACAGAGGTTTACCTTCCATCTAAACATTGTACGAGTTAGCATCGCCCAGTGAAATTCCAGATCTAATCTGTGGTACTGCAATCACTCTTTCTTTTTTTAATTCTATTTTATATTTATATATATATATATATATATATATATATATATATATATATATATATATATATATATATATATATATATATATATATATATATATATATATATATATATATATATATATATTTATTTATTTATTTATTTTTTATCTATTTACAAACTATGGAGAAAAAAAAGACAGAAGAGGGCATTTAATGTCCTCTAAAAGACTTACAGGTGTAACTGTGGCAAAAAGGCCTGGCTAAATGTACTTGCACACAGCAAGTTTTGCATTTTTTTTCTGACAAAGAGTAAAAATAATAATAATCATCTCTTAATGTAATAAACGTTGTGCACTATTAAAAGATGGAAGAAAACATATTCTTTAGTGAGTTCAAATGCAAAAATGTTCAAAATCTATTTTTCCTTTGCAAGGCATTGCGGAACAGAATCCCAGTCTGCACAATTCTTGAAAGAGACAAGTATTTATGTAACAGTTTGCTCAGTGCTTGAGATCTGTTTTATTGGCTTTCAATCTGAGAGAGGAGACAAAATTCTGAATATCTCCCCGTTTCTGTCTGCCCTCTTTTTCCCCTCGCTTGGGACATGCTTGTTGGGTTGTGGTTGGTGAATCAGTGGACGGACAGTGGCAGGAGTGGAGCTCTTGGAGCGATTGCTCGGTGACCTGTGCCAATGGCACTCAGCAGAGGACCAGGCAGTGCTCAGCAGCCGCCCATGGGGGATCTGAGTGTCGCGGTCACTGGGCAGAAAGCAGAGAGTGCCATAATCCTGACTGCACAGGTAAAAATCCTGAGCCTCCTAATTCTTTATCCACTTTAATGTCTAAATTTGAAATGATCACAAGCAGAGTCAACATGCCTGTCTTGTGTAGGCTAATACTGAATGGAATCATTAAGAAGTAGTTGTATCATAACAATAGAGTTTGGATAGAATTTTAACCTGCTTTTACCTAGCTTATGCACTACTTTGCTCAGAAAAAAAACCCTAAATAGCATGAATTAGAGCTGTGTCGTACAAATCAAGAAAAATGTTTAAGACCTTGCTCTATCAATTGAATTTGAAAATATCCTCTCAGATAGACGGCACGCATTTCACATAATTCAGGGTTAGCTGCCAAACTGTCAACATTGTGGATGTATTAGACGCTCAAAGAAGTCAGCTTAATAGGCTCGATCAGGCTTTGAATTGTCTGATCATGTGAAGGGTCTGAGCGCTCCCATAATCTCCTGATGCAATTTTCCCTGAGCCAACGTAAAACACAGAGGTTTCAGTGCTGTGTTTCACTGGAATGCGTTTGTGTGTCTATGTCTACGACGTGTTCATCTCTCTATTTCTGACTGTCAGTCTAAAATTCGTTACCAGCCGGCTGACCTTGTTCTCCTTTCGACCCAGTAGATATTAACACTCAAGGATTCTTACCTTTTATTTATGCTTAGAATGTTGGGCCTCTGAACAAATCAACAATTGCACTATTTACTCATATACAATGGGTCTGTGTAACAATTCTTACATTTTCTCAAATATTATTTGTAATTAAAATCCTTATTTTTAATTAGTCTTTAGATATTAATTGCAAATTATGTAGAACCCAGTAATTACTGTATTAAGAAAGAGACCATTTCAGGAAACAACTCCCAAACTTAGGACTCAGCCAGATCTGGCATTAATAGTCTATTGAATATACAAGAAAAAAAAGTTTGAACTGCTGCAACAATGAACTCTTTTCGTACATGAGCATGTATCTGTGTGAGGAGTCGATCACTCCTGTGTGGACTGACCCACAAGTAGGTATCTGGATCTCATTCCCTATGTATGTCCGTGAAGAACTTTGGCCCAGAGGTCACAAGGGTTGCTTCTTTGTCTCATCTGGAAGCCTTTCTGACATAGGTTAGTGGTAGGACATGAAATGTGTTCAAATGTGTTAAATAAGAAATAAGTGGAGGTCAAAATAAAAGCAGAGCATGTTTCCTGCTTGCAGGTTGCTCTGCCTCTTTTCAGACAAGGGCATGCTATTGAACGCATTGCTGAAGGGAAGGAGTTTTTGTTGTTTAACAGCATTGTCCACAAGAACAGAGAATTTTCTGCATGATAATTGTCAAAGATATCTGAGGAACAAAGCAAAAATGTTTTGGTCATTATGTCATGTGACTTCCACATACTTCTACATTGGGATTTTAATCTATGGACCAACAAAGTAGTGTTTAATTGTTAACTAGGAGGAAAAAGGTACATGTTTTTATCTGTTTATCTATCTAGAAATGCAGGGAGGTAATTGGGAATGGAACTGATTAAATTTCATTTTAAATGTTTTAGATTTTCCTCTTTTTAATATGTTTAACCTTCTTTCCACTCCACAATGATGTACTAAATGTTGAACTATCATAAATCCCCCCAAAAGTAATTGAATTTTAAGGAAAAAATGTGAATACAACAGTATAAATATCTCTACAAAGACACACATTAGCTTTCCAATGCTTTTGAAAAATTGCCATTAATTCCAAAAATAATATTTAATTTGAAAATATAGATCAAATATGTTCCAAATGTGAAATCAAGGCTAAAAAATAATAATATACCCTAAAGCACTGTATCTTTGGCTTTGCATTCTCTCTTCTTCTTTCCTATAAGTATCAGTTTTTCACTATTGATTCTGTTTTAGCTAATGGCCAGTGGAATCCCTGGGGCCTGTGGAGCGGCTGCTCTAAGTCCTGTGATGGAGGATGGCAGAGGCGTACCAGGGTGTGTCAGGGGGTTGCAGTGACCGGGCAGCAGTGCGATGGAACAGGAGAGGAAGTACGAAAGTGTAGTGACCAACGCTGCCCAGGTGAGTCAGAGGATAATAAGCCTTAAGTCTGAGGAGTCAGAGTGAAGCTAAAGGGAATGCAGGTTGATAATTATCTGAACAGATTGAGTGACGCGTCTTGTTATACAAGATAAGATAAAGCAGAATCAAAAAGAGATGGAGATAAAGTGTCGTGCATAACGGAGTATGAATATGTATGCTTTCATGCATTAAGGACAGAATGAGAGACAGAATAATCATCAGCTGGCATTCTGTCTTTCTGCACTGCAGTCTGCAGAAAAAATGTTAGTGCAACCATTCTGATGAAAGACACAAAAAATTTGAAGAACACTTACATTGAAACCATGTAAACATTGTAGTGCCCACTTTTGCAAGAAATGAATCATTTAAGCAGCACCTGTTATATTATAATCACTAAATTACATCCTGAAATTCACAGACATTGTCATAGCTTTGATCCCTTATGTCTCCATACATTCTTGCATGAAGTATGAAGAAATTATTGCATCATTTTGGAAATCCTAAAAAAGCTCTTTGAATTACTGTAGCATCACTTGTATCATGTTGCTTTCCAGCGCCATATGAGATTTGTCCAGAGGACTATGCAATGTCGATGGTTTGGAGACGGACCCCGTCGGGAGAGCTTGCCTTTAATAGATGCCCACCCAATGCCACAGGTAAGAACTGAAAGTCTACTATAAAGCACAGAAAGAATGTTAACAAACTTTAAAATATTGCATCAACCCCGCCTAAAGCTCACTGCTAAAATTACTACATATCTTATTCCGTTACAGTTTAAATATGCATGGGATTTAGTCACTATATAAAAGTCACTTTTATTTACTTTGAAGGACAATTTGTCAATTTCAGTTATTGATGAAAATGACCAACTTTCCTAATTGTTATCCCCATCTTTAAGAAAGAACTCACTTGGAAGCTTCTCTATAGTTAAAGCTAAAAGTGCATAGTATCCCTGTGGTTATATACCAGAACATGTTTCCTCATCTGAGAAAAGAGCACTTATTCATCCATTCTTTATCCCTGTACAACAGGGTTATTCCATGGCTGCCCCTGTCATTCCACAGCCTGTGTGGAGCACTGAATGGCTAAAATGGTTAACTTTAATCCCAAAGGCATTGTTAAAGGTTGAGGAAAGCCACACTGAGATGTCTTATCAAACATGAAGCAGGCAGCGAGGAGGCAAAGCATGTTTTGAATGTGAGAAATTGAAGAGCATAAAAGGAAGAGGAGAGGGGGAAGAAATGAAATGATAAGAAGAAATGTGACCTCTGATAATAGTACTGTGATGCAGGTTACTTTTGTTCATGCTGAAGGTCAAACTGCTAACAAACATGCAACAGAGCAATGAGGGGAGGAATGAATACTGAGGTTAAATGTTTGAGCTGTTACTCTTGTGTTCCTACATGACATTTATTTTGTTGGAATGAAATGGCACTCTGGCAGACTTGTTGCAAACCCGCTGTTATTCACAGATGGCTCACCTGCGGCAAAGTTAAGCACAGGAAGATTTACTAGAATGACATTAACTTTCAGGCTTGACATTAGCTTTATGGTCAATAACTGCTTGACACTGTGCTTGCAAAGGCTATGGATGTGTATGTGTGTTTGCTTTTACTTATTGGTGATATTTTGAAGGAAAACTAAAGCTTTGTTTGAAAAAAAAAATTAACCAAGTTTAGACAAGATATGACACTTAAGTGTTATTTTGTTTAGCAGCTTTTATTCTTCTGAAAATATTACAATTATATAAGAAAGGATTCCTTCCTTCATTCCTTACTATGTTCCTTCCTTTGTTCCTTCATTCTTTCCTTCGTTCCTGTTTGTTCCTTCGCTTGTTCCTTCCTTCCTTCCTTCCTTCCTTCCTTCCTTCCTTCCTTCCTTCCTTCCTTCCTTCCTTCCTTCCTTCCTTCCTTCCTTCCTTCCCCCCCTCCCTCCCTCGTTTTGATCTGAAAGTTCTGAGGAGCATTATGATTTGCGTCTTTAGAGAAATGAATATGAAAATTGATGCTAAATTTGTTTAAAATCATGCTAACTTTTTTCTTTTTTTTCTTTTTTTTTTTGCACGGTACAAAAAGAAAACAAAAAATAGCTCTAAATATTAGGATTTCTCTTTGACAAAGAGCTATGCCATCTCTGAGAAGTATTGTATTGTACTGAAGGCAGACATGTTTAATATTTAAGCACAGCGCCTCTGGTCTTCAAGGCTGGCACATCACAACATAAAAAATATCATACCTAACTAAAGCTGAGTTCAGGTCATATTTATTTGTAAAGCCAGTAATTACACCTGCAGTCTCAGCAGGTTTTCACACGGGTCCTCATTGTGAATCCATAAAAGAAAAACACCACCTTTGACCTTTTCTGATGGCTGCTGAGAACATGACTTAACAAGCATAACAACTGAAGTGTAAAAAATGAACAAGTGAATGTAGAACAAATATGTTTAGGGGCTTTAGCACATCCTCAGCCGCTGACTGTAGGATCATCAAGGTCATCACAGGACGAGTGCAGGGCCATCAGTGCTGCCTGGGTGATAATAGATGACAGCTTTTGGAGACAGGAGGTAAGGACAAAATGTGAGGAATTAAACATGAAACAGATATTTGTTTGTGTTGAGCCCCTTGAACAAATATTACTAAAAAGCTTGCTATAGAAAATTTAATTCCAGCCTGGATCAACTTATGTGAGATAAACAGAGGTACGATGAGAAATACACAGACAAGTGAAACATAAAGCAAAAACAAAATTTGAAAGAAAAACAAGATGTGGCATACACATTTCAATTGATATTCATGTGCTATGTTATATATTGGATCAATAAACCTTAAAAATTAACTAAAGTTGCTTTCTTTTTGGTAAATCATAATGAAAAAGAAATACTGTATCTATCTATATTTTGCAGTTAATGACATGTTAACATTGGTTATACAAGAATAGATATAGGACATGACAGCTGACAGCCTTGAATGGGCCTGGGACAGAATATATGGGTATGGGCCTCTACCAATTATGATACTTTTTTTTTTTTACTAACCAGGCCATAGCAATCAAGTAATTATTTTAACTATTACTAGAATGAATCACTAGAATAATTGTAATATTATTATATACATTATTATAGAATAATTATTATTAGATGATTACTAATAGTTTAAATAAAAATATTAATTTAAATTGAAACTATTATTTATTTGTGATGAAAAAAATATTTTAATCACTTTGACACATACATCTCAAATTACAATGATTTTTCTTAAGAAATATTTTCAATTTTCAATGGATTGAATTTATAGCACTTTTTGCTTTCCATATTGATGCAGCCCAATAGTTTTTATTTATAGACCTCTGATTGTGTGAAGTGTGGATTTATGTTCAGAACTGTTTTTTTTTTTTTTTTTTTTTAGAGGTTGATGTTCAACAACATTATCTTCTTTTGCTTAATGTCTGCTCACCTCCAGCCTGATCCTGCAGGTGCTGTTGTGAACGAGCCTGGCAGTCGAATCAGACTCAAGCAAATTTTAAACAGCACAACGATATCTATTGGACCCATTCTAATCATTACTTAATATAGGAAAGTTACACAATAGATACCTGACAGAAACTGCTGAGCTTGTTAGCCCCAATCCAGGGTTTACACACTGATGATAGCTTTCACAGAGAGGCCTGTCTTTAGGATGACAGAGATTCAAAGTTAGACTCTACCTGCAGACTGAAGCATATTCCTTTGTTGACATTCATGAGACCACTTCTATATTAATTTCATATTCTAGAGTGATTGTCTGACCCCATGTGCAGCGGAAGATTCAGGTTTTCATTCTCCTGTCTTTACAGGTAGATGTAGCTACCTGAAAGTTGACTAGGCCATTTTAATCATTTTCCTAATGAAGTTTAACCTCTACTTCAGTTTCCAATTTTTAGCAGCTACAAAATGTTCTTCTAATATTGTGCTGTATTTAGCTCTTCCCACCTTAAGTTCAACTGTTTCCTTTTAAAAGTCACCTCCCCACAGCATGATACTGCCACCACTCTATACATTAACAGTTAGGAAATATCATACGCACAATATGAACAACAAAATATTAGCAGATTGTTTAATAACTATGATCTTCCACACAAAACATTTTGCATCAACACCATCATGTTCTGTTCGGTCTTATCTGACCTAAGCACCCTTTCCACATTATACAGTACGTTTTTTTGTGGCTCCTAAAAGGCTTTACATAAGACTCCCCGCTGAACTTATTTTGATTACCTTTCGACAAATCTTCAGATTATTATATTGCACAATTAAGGTTTTGTTGTCAACAGATTTTTACCATGGGCCTTTTGACTTTTTCTGTAATTAATGCTCTCCTAACTAAAGGAGAGCGTTATGTAAACATCGTTGTAATATATTTATAGTTTTACTATACAATTTTTTATTTTTTGATGATGACTTAACACTTCACAGTTAAATGTTCAAAGCATGAGATGTATTTTTCTAAACTAAAGTAATCACTTTAAACTTCAAAACATTGTTCCATTAAAAACTTAAACCTTCTTCACATCACTTAAAAACCTCAGATCCCTTCATAGAATAGCTCTTTCCATGCAGCAATTAAGTTGTACAAAAATTCTTTCTGTTACCTATTTCTTGACTTCTGAGCCACATCTTTACCTCAGATTTTAATTACATGTATTGACCTTAGGAGACTGAATACAAATGATTGCTATAATTTTAGATTGTTTCCCAATTTTTTTTTATTTTCTGTAAACAAAAATAGAAGAATGAAGTTTCCTTTCACTTCCTAAAATTGCTTCTACTTCAGTCTCAGATAATTTTACTGAAATTTATAGTTTATAGTTTTATTCAAAAAAAAAAAGAAATTTAAGGTTTATGGATTATACTTGTATGGCAATATACAGTATATAGGTTTTTGTAAAGCAGAGTGTAAATGTGACTGGTCTCTTTCCCCCTATTCTGTTAATAAATTCTGACTGAGCTTTTCATCTTTAGAAGAGGCTGTTTATACAAAAGGTCCCCTAATAAGACCAATGCTGAAGAGAATGAGAGATCAGTGTCTACATGTATGTATAGTGCAGCCTTGCATTTGATCAAGCACATCTTCTGTAACATATAATGCATATACAAGCGACTGTACATGCTCCACCAATGAGCAATTTTTCTCTATCGACCATGAAAAAGATTAAAAGAAAATAGATGTATTTTTGCATAAGTGAAAAAAAAAACGTATCCTCATCCACTGTCAGTAATGCAGACAATGCACTGCCATACGTAATGCAATGCAAATATGTGCTAAAAGGTTATTTATATGCTTTTATACATACTATTTTGTCTGCAAAGCTTTTATATGTGATTTGTATACCAGTTTGTCCTATTAAAAAAATTAAAGTAATTCAAAATAGTAATAATGTTCAATCTATTATTGTGGAAATCATATTTAAAATTCTGCATCTTACAGCTTAGGATTTGTTAAAAAAAAACAGTGAAATAGTAACAGCAATGATTTAAAAAGTTGATTTATTTTTTACAATAGTACATATTATACCAATTTTTATTATTCATTTAAACTTATGTTTTAAGTGAAAAACAGACTGAATTCAACAGTTTGACTCTTATTTTTTTTGACAATTGTCACAGAGAATAGCATTTTGTCTCTCTTAGTAAGCTGTTAAATTCAATAATGTCAGACTACAACTAAATAAATGCCTAATTTCCAGGTATCTAGTTGTGATATGATATACCTCTGGTGGCTTCATTGAGCCATGGAGCCTCAGAGTATTCTTTTGATGACTGCGAATGTGACATGAAGCACCCAGGAGAAGCCAGTTTTGAGGGAGACAGATGCTCAACCCAGTGTAAAGCAGCAGGCATGTGATGCTGCCCTCTGGGCAGGCTCATGGTGCTGCATGGGTGATCTCAGGATGTAACAGTGTTTTGTGTGCTCAAACCTTCAGACATATCTCCAAGTTGTGACTGCAGAGAAGAGTGTGTGTATTCCATGTGGTTTGGATCTCTTTTTGCCTGTGTGTGGAAGGAGAGGAGAGAGTGAAGTGTCTCTGCCCAGGGAAATGTTTGTAACATGGAAGTTTCACTTTTGTTTATCAACCATCTGTGCTGAAGCAGTAAGATGAACTGTAAACTATACTAAGTAATAGTGGACCCCTATGTTAGTTGTGCACTAGGTATCTCTTTTGTTATTTTATCATTGCTTACATGTAAATGCAGGACAAGCAGTGTATTTGGGGGGGCCCTGAAATGAATTACATTTAATGCTAGTTACTATCACCCATCCTAGATCGACTGATGTCTGACATAAAGCTAACTCAGGTGCTTTATCATAAACAAAGAGGGTAACAGATGTTCTAAATTCTGCAACAGGTTCTGCCACTTCCTACTGTAAACATAATGTCATTACAGATAATAAAAAAATATATAATAATTTTTTAACAGTGTAGCATATTTTACTGTATTTTAAGTTTTGGTATGCAGATGTGTAGATATATTTTCTGAAATATATTTTTTTCATTTCCTATGATTGTTTTCTAAATACATTTGTCTACACGGGATACTGTTAATTTATTATAGGCGAGCGATTTTTTATTATTATTACCAGTATATTGATAACTCTCATGATGTTTGGCTCTAAGCAGCTGTATTAACACACCTTGAAAAGTACAAAATAAAAGCAATAGCATTATAGTGTCTTTTATTGTAATATTTTTCATACATGTGATTACTATTTTAGGAGATCACCTGTTCTCCTTTTTGCACACATCCTATGAAACATGGTACCTCTATGTTGAGTTCTGTGCAAATAAGACGTTGTAAAATGAATTCTCTCACAAAAACTGTTTTGTTTCTGTTCTTTTTGTCTCTCCCCATTTCATTCTACCATTGTCTACTGCCTTTTTTACTTCCTCTACTTTGCTCCTAATACCCTACCTCTCCTTATGTTCTCTGTGCTTACTCATTTCTACTCTCATCCCTTGTTCACTGATTCCCCTCTCCAAATCTGTCGCTGTCCCCCTCCACTCTTGCAGGCACCACTAGTCGACGCTGCTCTTTGGATCAACGCGGCATGGCCTTTTGGGAGCAGCCAAGCTACGCTCGATGCATAACAAATGAATTCAGATACTTGCAGCAATCAGTAGGTGCAAAGTCAGCTTCCTCTCACAGCCTCTGTGTCCAATAGATCATAAATTACCTCCCCAGTGTTTTCCCGCCCCTGTTACTTCATCATGAGGTAGCCAAAGATTAACCACTTTCAATAGTGAGACAAATTAAAATACATACTCTTTTTAATGTCCGGGCAACAATCTGTTTGATTTATTGTTTTTTGGCATGTTCTTATCTGTGCTATTGTTCTAATGCTAAACTCCCCCAAACAGGCAGATTCTATTCTTTGCAGAATATAATCTGCTAAAAGAAAATAACTGCATGTTTTTAACTTTAAGACAAGCGTTTAAGCTTAAGAAATATGGACAATGAACCATTGTTTTCCTTTCCCACATTCAATATTTTGTTTTTTAAACCTTATAATCTTATATTGTTCTAGCTGAAATAGCCTGGAATACAGCAGTACATCCTTTATTTCTTCTACCTTCCCTCTCAGTGTTAAAAACATAATAATAATTTTCAAAGGCTAAAATAGAACCTACCTTAAAAAGCAAAGAGATGTCCACCAGGCAAAATAAATGTAAAGCTGTATCATATAACATAAAAACTTCACTTTTCTAAGAGAACACTTCTAAATTTTGTACACTATACTGTCATTTCATTTACAATATGCATTCTTAGCTCCTTATTTAAAAAGATATCTATATGTACTAATGTAAAATACTATATTGAGGTGACACTGATAACACTTCAAAGTTAATGTCATATTGTATCAATGATGACATTTTCTTGTTAAAAAAATATCACCTTTTATAGTTGCAAATAAATATACTGTACAGTGTGTTTTCCTTATAACAAAAATATGTTCATAACAGTTAAAAAAATTATTTGGGACAATTTTTTATCTTTTAAAATTCTTATATAACACTTGGATTAAGTTATAGAGATTTTGATGTTGGAAAGAATAAGTGATCTGATTGAAGTGGCGACCTTTCTGATTTATCAATTGGATGTGCTGTATGTGAATTCAATCTGCACCACCTTAACTGCGTTTAGGAGGGTTCTGTAGTCACACAGGGTACTGTGATGAAATCTAGATCCATACAGTGTTAACCAAGGATGCAAAAGGCCTATATTTAAAAGGCCAAAAGGTTACCCAAAATTTTATGTTAAATGTTGTTAACCCTCAAAATTTATCTTTGACAAATAAATGCAATAAATTTAAAAACTTAAAAAGTGTATCATCAAAAAAGTATTAATTTTATAACCTGATGTAGTAGCTCTACGGTATTTCCTCCACCTGGGTGGTGGTTCTATGTTTCCTTATGGTGTTGCACATGTGAATGTGTATTTATAGACATAATTCCAGTGCAATGATGTGAAATGTCATTTCAACATGCAGTCTCTGCGTAAATATGTATCTCCTGCTCTAGTAACCTCCTTTAATTCAGATATGTTCATTTCAAAACATCCATGAAGCACAAACCACTTGGATATAGGTGTCAAATAGCAATATGGAGTTTTTTTTGCACTCCATTGACTCCAAATGTGAAGCCTGATATGTATCTAACAAACTGGCTAGAGGACACTGATGCCCCAAGTTCTTTCTTCTGCTGTTCTTGGAGGTTCAGGGTCATCTTGCAAAGGGCCAGAGGATGCTGGCGGGTGATGGGATGTCCCAGGTTACCAAGAACCTCCTGGATCTCACCCAGCGCAGGAACTTTTACGCTGGTGACCTTCTCTCATCAGTGGAGATCCTTCGCAATGTGACAGAGACCTTCAGGAGGGCAAGCTACGAGCCTTCCTCAGATGATGTTCAAGTAAGTGCTTCAGGAACTTCAATTTAACATGAAAAGTAAAGAATTCCCAGCCTTAAAATCCTGGCATTAGATAAAGCATTTTCTAATATGTCAGAAATAACACAAAGGCTCACAAATACCCCTTGTGGCTTTATCATATCAAGAGATCTTGATACATTCTAATCTATTTCATCTCATTATGTTGGGGTTAACTGCAGTCTGATCCTCTTTTTGTCAATAGGATGATGGAGATTATAGCTAAAGCTCCACCCCCATCTCCAATAAGATCATTTATGCCCTAAATGCTGTAGCATTTTCAGACACATGCTTTTCAGGCCCCTTACTGGCTGAATATATTTTGCAGTTTGTACATGCTTTGTTGAACACCTTGAGATGTATAATAGTATTTTATTATCAAGGAGAAATTTCAGAGGAAAAGAGATAATTATCCTATATATGTTGGTAGAAGAAAGCAAATTTTGCGTAGAAATGAATGTGTGTAAATCAGGGAATTCATTTCTTCTTAGCCTTCCTTTTTATGGGGTTCTTATCTAACTTTGTTGTATTGGAAAGTTTTTTAATGCTATTGTTCCCCATAGAGATGTGAGAGAGAATGAAATCACAAGGTTTTCTGGAGTTTTTTTTTCTTTTTTAAGTGTAGAAATAATTCATGGTCAAATATTTTAGAACTAGATATCACAGCCCTGTATTACACAGTCCTTGATCTCCCATCGCAGTCTTTATAATTTATTTAAAAATATGCAATATATTAGGTTATAAGTGATACATGTTAGTTTTATGTTATACCAGAACTGGGGAGCTTCAAGTGTTGAAAGTAATGTAAAGAAAACTTCTATTTCAGGTTTAGATGTAGGCAGTTACCTTCTTGCACAGTATTCTTGTCCCTATTTTTTTTTTTGCAGTTGTTCACATTACAGTCACACACTTTAATGCATTTTTCACACTATGTAGTTAAAGTTAATGTAGTGCTTAATTATGTAAAAAGAAATGGAATAGTTGACATTAAAGATAATGTGTGGTTAAATTCCTCCTTGGGCAAATTCTTTGTAAAGTCCCATTTTGCTGCAAATAGAGCTGCACTGTTTTTAGGTTTCATTATGTATCTAATGAATTTGGGATTTGGAGAATGTTTGCTCATTCTTGCTTATTTTCTTTGGCAAAATATTGAAGTAGCAGTATTTTTTGATAAATAATTATTTTTTTGGGGTAAACCATGTCATCACAGCTTTAATTTTAAATCCTTATTATACTGCAAAGTTGATCAAGTTTTCACATTTTCTTTAAGAATTCTTCTGTATTCATCAACCTGGACTTTAACTATCATAGGCTAAATCAATAGTTTATTTCCAAATTTCAGTTAAGAGTGTGTGCTTGCATGTATGTTTCTGTGTGTGTTACCATTTCCTTGTAATAACACTCCAATAATATCTGGGGTTTCCTCTTCACTGACATATTAACCATTGGAGAAAGGTACTACTGTAGTATCTTAAAGGGGCCTTTCCATGGAATGCAAATTGTGGAAGATAAAACCAAGGTCTTACAAATCATGACACCAAAACTTTATCCCTAGCCTCTCTGGTGGGTTAGTTATCTGGACAAAAACCTAAAATTGATAATAAGGTAAAAATCACATAGAAATTGAATCTATTTAAAACGTGACATTTTCTTATTGTTTCTCACTCTAATTTAAACAAAAGACACACTTCAACGTTATATCCAAATTTTTGTCAGGCAGATAATACATTTAAAAATGCATTCAAGTTTGGAGTGGTTGCACTGTAAAATTTGCTAGTTGCAGATTAATAATACACTGTAAAGGCTTCTGTTTAATCAACACACTTTCTCCATTGTAAGAAATGCTTTGCCTATTAGTTTCTGTGGAAATAAAACCTTAATGTCCTGACCATGGATGGGGAACCTGGCCCTATTCAGCCAATTCTCCTGATGCTTTGGAAAAGCCATGAGATGAGGAGAGCATCCTATCTCTTGCTATTAGAGGAGCTCCGTAGTGTGTATATGTGTGGGCAGGCGGGACAGCAGTCAGACAGCCCAACCCCTCTATGTGCCTGTGCGCTAATGCAGTGTTAAAGTGGGCACATTACCACCAGAGGGAGCATAAGCATTCAAGTAGAAAACAAGATAGCCTGTGTCAAGAGAGAGAGCGAGAGAGAGAGCGCCACTCCCTCAGGCATATTGTAGACCAGACAAAATAACAAGGCGAAAGATCAGACAGGGGTCCTATTACTACTGTAGGCATGCACCCCGGGCAGGCCCTGCTTTTCCCTGCCAAAGAAGACAATCTGCACAGCTGCTCAAACATTCGCTTTCATCTTTTCTTGTTCTTTTTTTTATTGCAGCTTGTGCTTGTCTCCTGTAGCAATAAGTGTTCTCTGCAAGCTGCAGGAGATTGGAAGGTTTTTTTTTCTCTCTGCTGTGGCCAAAACTCAAATTTCATCTTTCCCCCATTTGTTTACCCACATGGTTCCAGTTGCACATTTTTACAGTGTTATTGAGCCCTGCAGGGACCATCATTATCCCCTTATAGAAATACCTGTTTTGCCATCTCACATTCTCAAATATCTGTATATTATTCAGAGCAGTTCTTTTAAGTGCATGGTGCTAATGTCATGAGCTTAAAAAGCAAGGCTGCTGCAGTGCCTGTAATACTTTTGCGTGGGTGAGTTATGTATTTTCCCCTTTCATCATTTTTCCACAGAACTTTTTTCAAATCATCAGCAACCTCTTGGAGGAGGAAAATAAGGAGAAATGGGAAGATGCACAAAAGGTAAGCAAATGTGCACTGCTCCTTAAATAATCTAGATTTCTGCATTAATATTGAGTTAGACAAGTTGTGTTCATGACATCTGAACTCTGTGGATAAAGCAAAAATCAACAACAGATAAATAAAAGTCAGATGTACTGTAAAAATGTATTTCCTGCATGAATGCAAGGTCATTCAGCTGCCTTGACATCTGGCCTCATTTAAAAAGAATAATACAGTACCCCAGACCTCCACTTGATGGCAGCAACACAGTCACAGAAACTGTTCAGCCATTAACACTGCAGAATTTTTTCCTCCTGCATGCACATTGGTTTAGCCCACACAGATCATCATGTGATAAGAGTAGTACTTAAGTTGAATTTTAATAAATGCACGCTCAATTCAGATATTTTATTGCTTAAGGCACAACATCCACATCTCAAATTCCTGTCTGACTTGTGTGACATTGGTACTGCAAGCCAGTAACATAAAACAGTAATTTGCCTAGAAATGAATGGAGATGCATCTGTATTTTGCTTGGTACCCCTGCAAATCCACTCCCATTTGGAGAGGTGGCATATCTTTTGAAAACTGCTCCTGGTTTCTGAGGCATCCACTCTAGCATCACACATATCCAGACTCTAACAGAGATGCCATCTGCGATGACCGCAGGTCTGCAAAGGGCATCTGCTCAGGTGTCACTTTCTGTGGTAAACTGACTGAAGCAGGACGTCACCTGCTCTGAAGCATAAAAAGAATTTAATCAGCTAAAATATGCAACATCTCCACTGCATTTACTCCCAGATTGGCTGTAGATCATACTACTTCAGCTAAAATTAAAAGCAGTTTTAAGCACTGCGCAGAAAGCCTGCCTTTGCTGTTGATGCAGGTAGTAATTAGGTGTTTACATACTGGAGATTCTGTTTATCATCACAGATCGAAGTGTTGTCTGAAAGAAAAGCTAATAAACAAGTGGTTGTATTAGTTAGAATGCATCAAATAAGCGTACAGAAAGATTATAAAAACGTAGACTATGGAAATGATTTTGGTTGATTGAGCAGTGAGTATGTAGATGTGGCAAGATAAATGATTTCTTTAGTGATTAATGTCCCTGTCTGGCTTCATCACCTCAGCGTTTGGACAGCGACGTTGCCTGATTTCAACAGACGACGCTATGACTTCACGGCTAAATGTTCTTCTCACTTGTGGGTTTTGCATTAATGAGCTTGGTTTCCACAGCCCCCACACACGCTCTGCACACTGTGGACATTTAAAACTCCTCTTACATGAAACACCTCACTATGAGCTTTTACTAGCTGCAGGGTTGGCTCTGTGCAGAGATCACTATATATTCACCTCCTGTCACTGTTACCATGGCAAGCAAAGGAAGAGCTCTTTCTACACAACCTCCACTGCAGCCATTTCCCCATGCCGCCTTCACATTCTAAGGTTACCATAGAGACGAGCCGAATGAGCATGACTGCACTCTGCGTCAGACGTGCCGGAAGGGGCGATGTGATGCCCCCCTCCCCACAATCCCAGTATGGCTTTCGCTCTGCTCTGTCAGAGGCTTTGACATCAGCATCTCTGAACAACTTAGCTGGCTTAACGGCAGATCATGTGGAGGCACGTGCTTATACATGGTGCACAAGGTGATACAGAGAAAGGACTGAAATACCTACCTCAGGTGTTTGCACGGTATCACCTTAGACCGGGGTGTAAATTGCTAATTGCCACTCAAAGGCTTTTTAAACCTCATGGCATCATGAGGGTGTCCTCACACATCTGTTGAAGTCATGCACTAATATTTCCTCAGCTTAAAATGTACCTCGTCTAAAAATTGCTTATATTACATCACCGTTTTGTGCTTATGGGGGTTGGTGGCATATTCAGGCACAGCACATCTGCATTTAAACTGGACTATTTACAAACCCTCATTCTTTGAGAACAGAGGTCCAGTTATTTAAAACCTCTCTTATAATAACATTCTTTAATTTTTTGTATTTGTCAAGCAGAGCTGACTGGACCAGTCCTGCTACAGGTCATCCCATATCCCTGTCCATGTTGCAGACATTCGCTTACTGCCAATGCACGTCGGGTGGCACATGGATAAAGGCAACAGCCCTTAACTTGGCTGGGTCTTTAAAATAGTAAACCAGCCAGCAACTGTGCTGGAAAAGATGCTAAATACAGTTCTGGTGCTTATGTGACATTAATGTTTAATCCCAGTTGTAGCTTATTTTTTTGTTCTCATTTTTAGAGGTCTTATAATTTTGGTATTTTTTGTTTTACTGATAAAGATTTAAGCTATGAAGAATATTACAATAATGTGTCTGCTTTTACAAGGTTATGAATTAAATTTTGTTTTACAAAATTCCACTTTCCACACCTGTTACTAGAAAAAGTCAACAAACACAAGTTTAAATGCTTAAATCAATGTACTTTGAATTTTATTTTCAATAAAACAAGATAGCAGGGAGTGACACAAAAAATCCCACTGTACTACTAGCAAGGTGCTTTGGAAATTACCTTTACCTGTACACTTGGCAGTTTGTAAAATCATTCCTTTATCATGTGAAGTAAGACTTTCAAATCCAAATTTTGCTCATTTTGCTTATTGATCCTCATGATCTCTACACCAACTTTACCAATGATGTGTTGTAATATAATGTAGGAATCTTTAATGAGATTTTGTCATTATCTTTTTTAGATCTATCCTGCAGCAGTGGAACTCATGCAGGTCATAGAGGAGTTCATCCATATTGTTGGACTGGGCATGAAGGATTTTCACAATGCCTATCTAATGACTGGAAACTTAGGTAAGGATCATATTCCTTTTCCCTATCCCAGCCCCACTGCCTTTTGAGTTTGTTTAACCACTTATCTCTTCTCGCCGTAGACACTTAATCCCAGCACTCTGCTGTCTCTCTGATTCAATTTCCCCACAATAATTAAATTAGGAGAAATGGTGGATGTAAGGTTGAGGGGAGTAAAATTATGGCAAATCAATATTCTTAATTAAAACTGATCTTTTGGTCTCAATGTGCTAATTTCCTGGCACCAAATATTCCACATTCGAAAAAATTACTTAAATGGCTTTTTATGTAAATGCCTTATTTTCAATGCTTATATCAAGGTGAACAAAATATTAATTGTGCATTTAAAATTGATTCTGTCGGACATGACCCATTATTCTACGTATTGAGTGAGATTTAACAAGCATTGTGTATATGGAGTTATTTTTGTGTTTTTATTAAATACAAGAAAAAATCGATCTTAAATGGGAAAATAATTGTAAAAGTAAAATAAATATATATGAAGATTACAAATTTTCACACTGATAGCAAAAACGGATGTTATTTGAGAAGAAAGAAAAAGTTTTGAGGGAAAACATTTTGTCATAGGATAAATAAAAGATTAATTGACATTTGGAAGATGATTTCCAAAGGACAAACAGCTCTTAAAAATAAACTTTGGTTTTTCTTTTTTTGCCGTGAGGCTAATAACATTTCTTTCTCAAAAATAGATTTCTCTCTTAAAATATTTGTCTTTTCTCTCTCGAAAGTCTTTGCTCCTGCGTCAGGATTTTTCTCTTGGTGTGAAAAATGTGTCATGGGAGGGCCTGTGCTCCTATTGGCCAGTCTCAACAGAAAAGACAGCTGAGTGGTGATACTTAGTGCTTAGGACTGTGCTGTTGGGCGGGGTTAACAGCCTGTTAAAAAGTGGGAAAGAGTTGTGTGTAACTGAACAAGGTGACAACTGAACGGGATGGCTGGCACCACATTGGTCCTATGCAACTTATTGTGTTAATAAGTATTTATTGTTTATTTTCCACCATTAAATTAGATGACACAAACGTCTGCCTTCTCTGTCGCCCACATTCCAGGTGTGGCACTGCTAATCTCGAATGCACCTGGTGAGTCTAGGCAGTCTAGACAAGCGGGGGCGTAACCACCTTTCCACAAACTATCACCAATCGGCTGTCAAATCTGTTGAGACTAGCCAATAGGAACACAGGCCCGCCTGTGACACATTTTACACAATGAAGCTCATGTGTACCCTGAAGGATGTTTTTGCTGTAGCACAGCATCACAAAAAAGACTTTGTCAATTCCTTGCCACATTCTTGAAGAAACATACTATGCAAGTTACTGATCAAAGGCCGTTAAATTGAAAGAGAAATTGGGAAAGTTATTCTTTGCAGCTTTAATGAGCTTTTCTGCTACACTGATTTTTGTCTATTTAACATATCCCCTTGTTGGTCTCTAGAGTCTAACTACATAGTTTATGCAATATTTCCTTCCTTTTGAGTTCCTTTGTGTTCTTTTTAATTTCTATTGCATAGCACCGTGCATGATCTAAGGTCCCTGCGGTCTCATTTCATTTCTCTTTTTCTTCAGTGAATGGTGTCTCAGTGCCATGGAATAGAAGAACTGTGTTCTTAACTCATTCATGCATGTAAATGGGTACATACTGTATACTGTTTGGCTTCAAGAGGGTGGATTCTCACTTGGATTCCAAACAATAGCCAACATTTAACCTACTTTCCAGCAATTATTTCCACTGTGTAAATTGTGAACTGAAAAGTAAATATTTTGAAGGAGCTGCTGTTATTCAAGCAAAGCTTTGAAAACGTGAAAGTAAAACTGTCTTAAAAAAACTTTTGGAAATAATTATTTTTCTGCCCTGTTTCTTGGCCACTACCTGGGTATATAACTGGTCAGTTACAGAGTGAACACAGAAAAAAGCCTTTACCTGCTTAGAAACCTCAGTTGTAATTTAGTTTCTTGTGAAAAATGCAATCAATACATGTTTTTAATCAAGGGCAAAAGGGGTAGAGGATCCAAAGATAATCAGTAATACATTGGGAGAAATGCAAACATCACTCTAAAAGATTTCTGTCAGGTATGGGATCTAAACAATGAAACTTAACTCTATGCACTCTGAAAAGAGATTTGATGTAACCACAAAGATATTTTGTCCTTCAGGCTGTGTATCCACATGGAGTCAGCTTTATGGGGGAGCGTAAACAGTCCTTTTAATATTAGGGACCAGATTGGTAAAAATCATAGAAAGCCGCTTCATGTTTGGTTTTGTCTGTATACACAAAACTGCATCTTTTTTTAGTGATGACCTTGTAGCATCAGCTACCTTTGTAACCCACATGTGCCTCTTCACCTTTATGTTGCTGTATTTACTTCGAATGAGCTGTCTGTTCATGTCCAGTGTTCAGTCAGTGGTTTGGGTGTGATTCTGTGGCAGGTTCACAGCGCATATGTAATACAGTGTCTTCTGTGATGCAACTTTTTTTCTAATCCGATTTTAAAGATATACGATGTTCATCTTCCCGTGGAGGAGGACTTTATTTTGTTTACAAGCTTCTATTGGTCTTATCCGATAACAAATAAGAAAATTATATTGTGAGGGGTTATTATAAAGAGTCTATTCTGCATTGAATATACTCTACATTCAAAATACAATTTTAAAAGCTTAAAATAAGCTTAAGAAAAGTAAATAAAATACTATAAATGTAAAAAATTTTGCATAATCTAAAAGCTGTAAAGATTAAGTCTAGTCTGCGTCTCAAATTCTTGTTGGTATTATGTAAAGCTCTCTTACAAAAATATGTAAATATTAGGAATATGGTATGAAGAATTTTTAGAATAAACAAATGCAGGCCATTATTTAGATTTGGGGTTTTTGTAATGACTCAGAACAGAGGGACCCAGTATTCAGACTACACAGACAGTGGGATAACTTCAAAAGCATTCATTTAAAAACAGAACATTTGCTGATTTGCAGCAGCAGCGGCTAGGGTGCCCGAGGCAGGTAACTGAACACAGAACTGGCAGGAGATCAAATCCAAACAGACTAAGGAAGCCATGATAATCCAGAGGGTGAAGGAGGCAGATCCAGGTTCAGTCCAAAGTATAATCCAAAAGAATCCGAAGACAGGTCAGGCAAACAGATCAGAACAGTGGCAGGCAGGCTCAAGGGTCCATAGACAGAAACAGGTCAGGATCAGGCAATCATAACACAATAATTATGGCTAGAAATACTCTCTCCAAGGGCTCGAGAAAAATCTGGCACTGATGACTGGGAGCCAGTCGTTTAAATAGAAGCTGGGACAGGTAGATATGATGAGCAGTGATGAGGAATTGCACAGATGAATGAAATGAGCAATCAAGACAGTCATCAGTGGCAAGATCACGGCAGTTTTGGATAGAAATGTAAACATTTATGGGTGAAAATTCTCATGCATTTGTCAGAAATAATCTTTTTGTTTTGTATATCTTTGCATATTGAACATCTGCTCTGGTATGAGACATTGAAATTGTACCTTACCCTGTAGACTGTCAAAAATGATATAATAAGGCAACCACAACACTGAAGATTTTTTATAATACACCAACACAAGCAGTACGAGGAACACAAGAAGCACAAGGAAAAGATACAGTTTCCCACATTTCAGTGTTTTCATTTTGATTCAAAACGACCACTAAAACAAATATTTAACTCAGCCACTCTACAACCCGTGATAAAATTCGGTGTCGACAACTGTCTTCAGAATTTGACTACTAACTAAATAGCCAAAAGTTTAAATTTTTTTTCAACATAAAAATTTTAAAATTCAATTTCAGTACACAAAAAATCACTAAAAAAACAGAATCACGAAGAACAGGCAACACAGGATTTTAAGGGGGGAACAAAACTGTGGAGCAGCTCAAGGCATTGTTAGGTTATGAAACGCTCTTCCTCCCTTTCTTATTTGAAAATCTAACAGAACAGTTGTTGACTTCATCATTAGAAAATGTGGAAAAAAAAAACAACTAAAAAACTAGCATAACATAATCAGCTTTTAAATCAAAGTCAAAAAATGTTCTGTTCAAATTCATCACAAACAAATGACACCAAATTGAAGTTTGCAGCATAGATGGCAGGAAACAAACACTACACATCACTGTACACACCATCCTCCCCATAAACAAGAGAGTTCATAACAATAAAATTCCAATACAATTCACTGATGTTTTTTGTTGTACTATACAGGGCTGGGCAATTATTTGCCTTTGCAATATAACCACAAATTATCAACATGCAATTTTCAAATCTCAAATGCACTCAGTTTGGTCAGATTACAATTAACTAAAGAAAGACATTACATGTGTCGCTTCAGCCATTTAGATATTTGTAATATGCTTACAGTGGGTTTCTCACCACACAGTGTGGAAAAGCATTGAAGCTAGCATGTAAATCCAGCCATGCAAATTGAAGTAAACACTTTTTCACAGGAGGTTACAGTAAAGTCCTGCAACAATGGACACTAGACAAGCAAGCTTAAAAAACTGAAACCCTGAAAGTAAACATTTAGATGTTTGTGATTAGTGCAAAGGAAAATCCCCCCCCCCCCCCCCCCCCCCACAAATTGCATTAGTTTGATTAAAATTTTGATTTATGACAAAACCGTTCAGTACTATAGTACTATAGTGGTTGATTTAAAAAAAAATGTCTCAGTAATAACTTTGTATGGGACTTTATCTAGCATGTATTCTACATAAACGTATCATGTGAATTCATAAAACATACCGAGTATAGTGTCTAGGGAAGTAAACTTTGGGTTCCTGCATACTTGTCATGTTAATTTCGACCCAAACATATTTATCTCCTTGATGACATAGCACTTTTGATTAGAGCAATGGAGAGTTTTGTAGGCCATTGGTGGAAGCCAAATGGGGGAAAAAATCTGGCTGAGTAAGAAATTGCTGCATCTTTTTGTCACTTATTTATGGGGGTCTCTTGACACCTGGATAAATAGTGACTGTCACTCCTGCACTGTCTTCTGCCCTGCTACTTTTAGGTAAATAACCTTAATTGCAAAAGGCTTTCCAATCCAGAAACATATGCACACTCCTTTAGAGGACACATAAAAAGATATAACATCTTAGAAAATTAAATGCTAAACTTAGTATGCATTTAAAATCAGATTGACTTTGAATTTTTTTGTCAAGATGACCTTTGTAGATAAAAAAAAATGTGGGTAATAATGTCATTTACAAAGGAAAATCAGTAATAAGTACTTTTTTTATCAAGATTTGTTTGGGTATAAGTAAAGCAGTTATTATATTGTCTCAAAAATACTGAATGTAGAATATTCTGACTGTTTTAATTACTTTTCAAACTCAGTGAGAGATGAGAAATTATATAAACCTACAAAATTGCCTTAGAAAAAATCCTGAAATTGAACTATATCCTAGGAATTTGTGATTTTTCAATTGATGCCCTGTGACTTAAACTACAAGCCAAAATAAACATGCTCTAACCACTGCTGCTCTTAACATCTGGCACTGGGAACAAGCCTGCTGGTGCTTGCTGATTTCACGCTTTCTATTGGATCATCCCAAACACACAGGCACACCTCCGCTGTCACAGATTTCCCTCAGTCATGGAGTCTTGCCAGGATATAAATTGTACTACCAGAGCAGTACAATGAACAATGGAGTTTTTACATCAATACTAGGATTATCTGGAAATTCCCCTTTGCTGAGCCACCTCCTGACAGGGGCCTGATATGATAGCAGGTTGAGAACAGCACAGATTTGTCCTCCCTCTTGCAAATTTAGGGCTTCTATTTTTGTTAATCCTAGGTATATTTTTCTTGTTAATGCCACAGTAAACACTGTTTTGTTTTTTTAAGGTGATTAGGGAAATTACCAGTCTTTGTGCTGTGATTGGCCAGCTTTAGGTATAATTCACATTTTCTTGTGGATATGTAGGTTTATCTAAATCCAAATCTTTGTTCATAGTACAGTATATAGAGTATTTAATTAGATTTGCCTGCTTCTTCTATTCTATATTTAAAATCTTAAAGCAAAATAGACTGGCATGTTTTTAGTCCTTCTCTTTTTATCTGCTTCAGCTGCTCATGTAATGATCTTCTGACTCATATATACCCAGGAGTACATCTGTAATCTATATTTCATATTGGTTTTTGCAGTGGCCAGCATCCAGAGACTTCCAGCAGTGTCTGTGATGACTGACATCAACTTCCCCATGAAAGGTCGTAAAGGCATGGTCGAGTGGGCCAGGAACTCAGAAGATAAAGTGGTCATCCCAAAGGGACTCTTTGTTTCCCAGTCAGCAGGTATATCACTGAGCAAGTCCAGTATTTCATGAAGCCACATCACCCTGTCCAAATAAGTTTTTTTCTGCAAGACTCAAATTTGCACAGACAAACTTTATGGGTAAAATTGATCATTTATCAAACCTTAAAATCGCATAGTAATAGTAAAGTTTTAAATAACTTTATGACAGATTTACGTTATTTAAGTTGTTGTGTTTTTTTATGTTATAGGCATTTTTTGAAAATGCACGAAAAAATGAAATTTCTTTGCTATTTCAATCATTAAATCATTTTCTTTTTATATTATGTGTTTAAAAAAATGCAGTGTACGTTTAATATTCTAATCCTAGGCAAATTTTTTAACTGGTTAAATCAGCCTTATCTGTTATAAACCATGCTAATAAAGGAAGTTACTTATCAAAATGGAGGCATATGTAATGCCAATTGCCTTGGGATAGACTGTAAGTCAGACTCTATGGTAGTAATAAAGGAGTCATGTTTCAAAAATGTTCTAATTGCAGGGAAATTGATCAATTATTTTCTTTTATTAAATTCATCATCCTGTAAAACAATTTCCTTTTTCAGACATGGAGGGGTCGCCTGTGTTCATTTTGGGAACTGTTCTCTACAAAACTCTTGGACTCATGCTACCTTCACCAAAGTAAGGCTAACATTTTTCTTCCTCTCTTACATTTGGCTCTTAGGTTTAAGTCATTTTAAAGGTTTTGTCTCACCTCATGTTTTACCCCTAACAAACAAAGACAAAAAAGGAAACATACTATAGAGCTGAAATTTGTAAGAGGTTGGATGAGGCTATTTTAAAAACCTTTTTTTTTTTTTTTGCATTGTGAGCACTTAATTCATGGCCCCCAAGAACCTTATTCTGTTGGAGATAAAGTAGGCTGCAAACTGTAATAGACTAATAGTTAGATCTAGGAGTGTTACACTACATCCAGCTCATGAGACAGGATTTCATATAATTTTTGACTTACAAGAGTAAAATAAGAGAAGATTTTGACTATATTTTTGGGGAAATTTATGTTTTCATAAGTAGAAGTTTCATAAATCAAGAATACAGTTTGAAGTCCTGCTATTAACTATGCACAGTCATGCATATTCAATAATTGTTTATCATTTGTCAGGTTTTAGAGGACCCAAATGCAGAGATTAGGGAGGCAGAGATGAGTTCTTGTAGGTTTAATGTCCAAAAAAGTGGCAACTGAAGCAAATGCAGAAAACCAAAATCTAGGAGATATCCAGGAAAACACACATGAGGAACCAGGAAACAGTGACTGAACATGAGTTGTATCAGCAGATTGGAAGCAGGTGTAAACAGAAGAGTTTAGAAGGGAGTTAGGAGAAGGAGAATGCAACAGAGGGTAAAAAAGAAATACATAAGAACTCAAAAATATAACCAACAACAACTAGAATAACACAAAATGGAAATTAAACCAATAAACTAGAACACACAGAAAGACATGAATCTAAGTATAACTGAAAACTTCAAAAGAAAACTTAAACAGAACCCAAAAGTGCAGAGTCATGACACCATTAGATATTATTGAAAAGTTCATTTGAAGTCCCTAACCTAATTTGAACCTAATTCACTAAGTGAAGACCATCATATTGATTAATTACACAGTCACTGGGTAAGAGTCTGACTTAAATCTAAACAGGTCTTATGAGTGTCACTTCATAAGACCTTAGGGTGAGATTTATTATAGGCACCTATTTAGACACATTGCAATACTCATTAAAACTAATGATATGGAAATGACTGTTTTAAGATCATGCTGGCACATCAGCCCTTTAATCCAGGAAATGTTCTCCAGGTGATAGAGGGAAAACTTTGTGGAAAGAACTAACATCTTGTTTGTTGTGCATTGTCCAAAAGCCTTTGGGGACTTCATTGGCACTGATTTAGGAATTTAAATACAATCACAGTAGCATTGAGTATGCTGTTAATTTAGACCGACATAAGTGTCTGAAATGCTCCGTGGAATGGCCCAAAGAACCGCAGATGTCTGCTGCAAGTCAACAAGACTCTGGCACTGATATCCAAGGACAGAGTGGTGATTCCAGGACATGTCAGGCAAGCTGTGCAGCAAAAGCATCAGCAGAAGCCCTAGGTGCCTGTATGGAAACAAAATCATAATGGGACTCTACAGATTGCCCTTTTCAGAATGACGTGAAAAAAGCCTATCGCAAAAATAATGTTCATTTTGACACTTTTTCAGTGTGCAAACTTTGACAAAAAAAACCTCACTTTAATGTCAGTAAATGTCAAAGTTTTACATGTATTTTGTATGGAGCCTATCAATTTCAAATTTTAAATCATAGCATATAATTTATTTATAATTTAAAGCCTAGAGCTTTGAAGAAGCAGAAGCAAAACTATATTTTTTTTTTATATCAAGCTGTTCTGCTTCATTCTTCTTTCAGCAGCTGGCAGTTTTATTCTCAGTGGAAAGTTTTCTAGAAGCCTTGTGTTTTGTGATTTTTTTTCACCTTAGAAAATTGTATTTTTTCTTAACTGTAGCAATATTGTAACTTGCATAAATGTAAGTAAATGTATATGTTTTGTATTAAACAAGTTTAACAAAAACACGGTGGGACAGATTTCCTACACTGCATGAAAAGTGAGATTTTCGTCCCCGTAAACCCCCGTAAACTCCCGCAGATCTGCCTGATTTTCGTCAGTTTCCGACAATTTGCAACCCGTGCTTGTCCGCGTTTGTCGTGCCACAAATTGTCGGAAACGGACAGTGACGTAGGTGGAGAGCGATCAGCTGTACTAATGGCCCTAATTAGCATATGAATGCAGCAAACCCGCGCGGCTGGCCAGGTCTGGCTTGAATAACCTACTCAGTATTGGCTGAAACCACTATTCTCAAACAAATGAAATCGCTCGTGATTGGCAGCAAAACCACACGTGGCCACGCCAGGCTTTAATTTTCTTACTGAGTATTGGACGGAACCACTTCTTTTTAAACAAGTAAAGTCGCTCGTGATTGGTTGGCATATATACAGGTGCTGGTCATAAAATTAGAATATCATGAAAAAGTAGATTGATTTCAGTAATTCCATTTAAAAAGTGAAACTTGTATATTATATTCATACATTACATACAAACTCATATATTTCAGATGTTTATTTTGTTTAATTTTGATGATTACAAATGACAACAAATGAAAATTTCAAATTCATCATATCAGAAAATTAGAATATTACTGAAGACCAATAAAAACAAAGGATTTATAGAAATGTTGGCCAACTGAAAAGTATGAACATGAAAAGTATGAGCATGTACAGCACTCAGTATTTAGTTGGGCCTCCTTTGGCCTGTATTACTGCAGCAATGCGGCGTGGCATGGAGTCGATCAGTCTGTGGCACTGCTCAGGTGTTATGATAGCCCAGGTTGCTCTAATAGTGGCTTTTAGCTCTTCTGAATTGTTGGGTCTGGTGTATTGCATCTTCTTCTTCACAATACCCCATAGATTTTCTATGGGGTTAAGGTCAGGAGAGTTTGCTGGCCAATTAAGAACAGGGATACCATGGTCCTTCAACCAGGTACTGGTAGCTTTGGCACTGTGTGCAGGTGCCAAGTCCTGTTGGAAAATGAAATCTGCATCTCCAAAAAGTTGGTCAGCTGCAGGAAGCATGAAGTGCTCTAAAACTTCCTGGTATGTGGCTGCGTTGACCCTGGACCTCAGAAAACACAATGGACCAACACCAGCAGATGACATGGCACCCCAAACCATCACTGACTGTGGAAACTTTACACTGGACTTCAAGCAACGTGGATGAAGTGCCTCTCTTCTTTTCCTCCAGACTCTGGGACCTTGATTTCCAAAGGAAATGCAAAATTTACTTTCATCAGAGAACATGACTTTGGACCACTCACCAGCAGTCCAGTCCTGTTTCTCTTTAGACGCTTCTGACGCTGTCTGTGGTTCAAGAGTGGCTTGACACAAGGAATGCGACAGCAGAAACCCATGTCTTTCATACGTCTGTGTGTGGTGGTTCTTGAAGCACTCACTCCAGCTGCAGTCCACTCTTTGTGAATCTCCCCCACATTTTTGAATGGGTTTTGTTTCACAATCCTCTCCAGGGTGCGGTTATCTCTCTTGCTTGTACACTTTTTTCGACCACATCTTTTCCTTCCCTTCGCCTCTCTATTAATGTGCTTGGACACTGAGCTCTGTGAACAGCCAGCCTCTTTAGCGATGACCTTTTGTGTCTTGCCCTCCTTGTGCAAGGTGTCGATGGTCGTCTTTTGGACAACTGTCAAGTCAGCAGTCTTCCCCATGATTGTGTAGCCTATAGAACTAGACTGAAAGACCATTTAAAGGCTTTTGCAGGTGGTTTGAGTTAATTAGCTGATTAGAGTGTGGCACCAGGGGCCATCAATTTTGAACCTTTTCACAATATTCTAATTTTCTGATATAATGAATTTGAGATTTTCATTTGTTGTCATTTGTAATCATCAAAATTAAACAAAATAAACATCTGAAATATATGAGTTTGTATGTAATGTATGAATATAATATACAAGTTTCACTTTTTAAATGGAATTACTGAAATCAATCTACTTTTTCATGATATTCTAATTTTATGACCAGCACCTGTATATATTTACATATATATATATTTATTCATATATATATATATTTATTCATTCATATATATATATATTCATATATTTATTCATTCATATATTTATTCATTCATATGCTGTGTATTTATGTTATCCTACACTACTACACAATTATTATGCTACCATCAAGGACATGAATGAATTTATACAGGAAATGAAGATTTGCCAGGAAGCTGTTTATGCAAAGAAAGAGCTTTATTAAAACACACACAACTATATACAACGCGTATCCAAACACATGCGTATCTAAAAATTACAACTCCGTGAACGGTCCGTTTGCTTCCTCGGGGTTGGAGGTAACTGGCAGCATTCCCTCCGAGGCAGGTCCGATGTGCAGAGGCCTACTGTGCGTGGCCCTGTACTTCGGCATTGCTTCTAACCGGGACTGCAGCTTAACACAGAGTTCAGTGAGATCCGGCCTACGAAATGGCGGCGACCGTACAATCCATCCAGAGACACCGCCGACGACGCCATCTTCTTCGTCGGACATGAGGTCGACGGTGGCGGACTTACAGAGTTCCACTTCCTCATCTGCCAGCACACTCTGCCTCGCCTTCAGCAGCTGAAAAAAAAAAAAAAACATGAATCAGCGCACTGCATATGGACACAACACATCTATCAATGCACCTGAAAAATAGTCACCAAATAAAGTCTTACCCTCTTTCGTCTGGCCCGACTCCGAGCAGATAGCCTGGCGGCCTCCGCACGCAGCGTGCTGGCTAGCAGCGTGTATCTGAAGCTCCTGCATACCGTCTCATAATACGTCTTACAGGCAGCTGGAAAACAATTAAATGAGAGTGGTATGAATAAAAAAATAAAAAAAATCAAACGCAAGTCACAGTAACAAGGAAGGAGAAAACATTAAAACAAGTCACTTACACACAATGTCGTCTTTATCAACATCGTGCAAATCCGAGCAAATAGGAGGTCACCGCCTCATTGTGAGGCGACTGTAGTCTGTGAAAAAAAAAAAAAGTACAGCTATGGTCGGTATCCATCCGTATCCATGTCCTTTTACCGCAGAATGAAAGCATATTCTTTAAACCTTACCCCTGCCGGTTCATAGCGCCTGCAATTAGTCTCCGAGTTGTTAAGACGGCATAATGCTTCCTGTGAATCACAAAAAATACACTTTAGTAAAGCTTTAGGCTAGGCTGCTTTTAGCTTACCTAGCTAGGCTAGGCTGTCTTTAGCTTGCCTAGCTAAGCTAGGCTGCTTTTAGCATAGCTACCAGTAATCGAACATATATTTACCGCTAGCGTGGCGTTGTGCACCCGTCTTCTCTTCCTCGAGTTCGTATATCCCGCAAAGTTGCTCGACTGCAGATAGGGTGGCCAGATGTCCGGCTTTAGGGCGGACAGTCCGGATTTTCATTGCACTGTCCGGCGCTGCACCCAGCCGGACGTGTATTTGTCCTCCTTTACCCCCAGATTCCACATACTCCGTCAGCGCTCCGCCCCGCTCACGTACGGAGTACTTGTCTGTCTTCTTCTTCTTCTTGTCGAGTTTTATGGCGGTTGGCAACAAACTGTTAGTAGCATTACCGCCACTTACTGGTATGGAGTGTGGTTCGTGATGGTTTAAATATTGATCCTGATACATTCTACCCTAACTTCTTCTAAACATACATTCACACATTCACACTTAAAAATATAAACATATTTGTGCACAGCTTTGTATATCATTCCTTCACTCACAAACACACTTATTATAATTAAATTCTATGGAATAATTTCGTTTTCTTTAGAAATCGAATAATTATTTGTATGTGTTTACTCCCTAAATTTTTCCTCAGTAAATCTAATAAATTAACCTTTTCCTTAATGTCTTCAAACTCTCTTCTCATATATCTTCTCTCTCTTTCATATTTATGACATTCTAATATAACATGTTCTATGGTTTCATATTTATCACAGAAATCACATTTGCCCGTTTTATGTTTTTGTATTTTAAAAAGTGTATGATTAAGTCCTGTATGACCAAATCTTAACCTTGTTATCACTCTTTCATCCTTTCTATTTCTTCTTCCATTTCTTCTTTCTCCTACCATCTTCTGAATTTTATAAAACCATCTTCCTGTTTTATCTTCATCCCACCTTTTTTGCCAAATTTCCATAAGTTTCTCTTTAATAATACTCTTTCCTTCTGATTTACTTATTTTAACTATAAAACTAATAGAATGTTTAATTGCCCTTTTTGCCATTTTATCTGCCCTCTCGTTTCCTTCCACCCCAATATGTGCTGGAACCAACACAAATGTAACTATCAGCCCCATGTTTCGTATTCTGAACAGTGTATGATTTATTTCTAATAAAATGTCCATCCTACTATCTGTATTACTTGTCTGTCATGTAAATCAATGAGAGCTGTTCCACATCCTCCGCTCGTCACCGCCCACGTACGTCTTCTCCGTCCTTCACCGTCAAAATACGGAGCTGAGCTATTTTTTGCTCCCCTCCGGTCCGTCCAGATCAAGACCCGCTATTGCAATCGCACCAAACAGAAAAAAGAATGTAGAGAAGACCCGGTTTGTCAAATTAAATTATAGTAAAAACAGATCGGTATCTAGAAATTAGAGCATAGTTTGTATATATTCCCAAAAACTAAAACAATAAATTTAGATTTTATTTCCTGGCAAAACATTCAATTCGATTTATCCATTAAAGAAAAAAAAATTTGGAATTTTTAATCAATATTCTAATAATTGTAACAAAGTATTATATCCATAAATGTCGCTATGCAAAATGCTCCCTCTCAATCTCTGCTCTCAAAAATGAACTTTACCTTTTCAAAAGATGTCTGAGAAAGATGCAGAATTTAAATGCAATTAAATTGTTTGAGTTAATTGAAGAATTTCAGTTGGTAGTCCCCACTGATTAATTTACTTTAACTACTATTATTATTTTATTTATTTTTATTTATTTTATTTTATTTTATTTTATACTTTGTTCCAGCCTGTGCATTTAATTTTATTTTTCAAAAGCAGGAGTTGTGATATTTCTTCTTGTATTGAAATATTTGTTATTGACTTGTTATTTGAGATTGTTATTGTTTTCTTATATATTCAATAAAAAAAAAAAAAAAGTGGAAATCTAAAAAAAAAAAATTAACCATTACAGCCAACTGATTCTGATTAAAACTAATTTTTGAAGTAAATTATTTTGTGTATTTTTTTACATAACATTTGCATACACAGTAATCTAGCGTACTTTAATTAAATAAATCAATTCAAGCTAAAATGTAAGAGTCTATAATTAGGCTATACTGAGCCTGATCTATTTCTACCATCTATTTGGGGGATATTTATTGCCACACTTTGGGCCACTTAAAACCAATTTAGCATGCTGACCTATGTCCTTATGACCACAGTGTACCAATCTTCTGATGGCTACTTCCAACAGGATAATGCGCCATGTTATAAAGTGAATCATCTCAGAATCATTTCATGAAACTTTTCCACTTAAGTAATTGTGAATTGAGCATATTGACAGACAACATTTTATTTTTTATCTTAAATGCAAATTTAAAAAAAAATAATTACTGCTCTAAATGTATTGCTCTGTCAGCTAAAGATCTGTTTTGGTCTCTATACTTTAATTAAATAAATCAATTCAAGCTAAAATGTAAGAGGCTATACCTGATCTCTTTGTATCAGAGATTTTCTTACCCAGGGTTGCAGGGGGGGGGGGGGGGGGGTAAAACCCCCCCCTGCAACCCTGGTTTGCATTTGTATAGCTCACAGCATGTTCATTTACATGTTAAAGCCTCCCCTAGAATTCCATGGGGGGGAGGCATGGGGGGAACACTGCCTAAGAAATTCCACGTCAATTTCTGACAATTTACGGGAGTTTTCGTCGAAGCCTGCAAATTGCCGTATACTGCCGCTAACCTGAAGTTCCACGACAATCTACAGTGCCGTATATTGACGAAAATCCCACTTTTCATGCAGTGCTAACAGCAATTACCAATTGTGTATTTTACGCAGGAATCACACCGCTGTGAACTCCAAGGTTATCGCTGTGACCGTGAGACCTGAGTACAAGTCAACAGACTCCCACCTTGAGATTGAATTGGCTCACCTGGCAAATGTAAGCACCAGATATTCTAAATCTTCTTAACTGTCTTTCTCTCCATGTTTAGTGTGGAATAAAGTCTTGATATTGTTTTTAAAGGTTTAGAAATCCTGACCTTGACTCTTCCTACCTCTTTTCATTCTGAACAAGTCCTTCAATCTTTCTCTCAGACTTTACCTGAGAAAGTGTTCCTTCAGCAAATTCCTGTAAAGGTTTATAACATAGTCTATTGTGATGTAAAACAATCCTATATGTGGACAGTCACACTGAGATTGTAGCATCTTCTGGTATGTAGTCAGATTGAGTGAAGCTGACTCCTTAGTTATTTCTGTACATTCAAAGTTATTATTATTTTCATCTCTGTAGTACAGTGCGAGTCAGACAGTTGAAATAAAAAAAACTGGGGCTGGTCGGTGGGCACCTGGTGGTCAGGTTCCTCCTCACTGGACCTGTCTCTGCCAAGTTAGCCGAGTGACGCAAGGCCATCACCCAGTGGGCCCACGTCCTGGAGGTGGAGCCTAGAGGGAATGGTGCAATACAGGCTAGAAATGGTTGGACTCACCTCCGTGCATAGCCTGGGCTCTGGAATCCAGCTCAGATTGCATCCCTTTGCATTTGAGTAGGCAGAGGTCTCTGACAGTCCTTCTTAGCACCCCTGGTGCTTCTGGAAATTCCATAATTCTGCTGGGGGTCTTCATTGTCTATGTGGGAAACAACAGGAAGATACGGGCCCCGAGGTCTGAACCTAAGTTGTGTTTCATTTTTGGACTTCTGTCCCAATCATATGCCCATAATGAAATCCATGTTCAAGCATATTGGTTGGCACCATGACATCCTTATCACTGGCTGCATGTCCTTCATACTTGGGTGAAGAGAGGGTTGTCAACCAGTCACAACCTGGTACTGTGTTGGATATATTGGAAGAAGAGAAAACTGGAAAGACATTGTAGACCTAAAAGACTAAAAGACCTTAAACTCCCACCGCAGACAGAGCTTCTCTCAGATTCCAAGGGGAGGCAGGGGTCATGGACTCTGTTAATCATATTCTCTGCCTCTGTTGTCAATATAGCAACCTGTAGCTATGGCCTTAAGGTCTGCGGTACTTGTAATGGGGCAGTTCCTAAATCTAGTAGTTGACTACCAGCAGTAAGGGATGCTGTTAAGCTGAAGAAGGAATCTTATCTACAGTAGCATCGTTGGCTGGTGGGCAACAACCGAATACCGTCAGGCCAAGCATGCAGCTGCCCAGTGAGTTACAGAGACAAAAACAGGCCTGGGAGGAGTTTCGGAGAGACCATCAACAAAGACTGTTGGTCACCCTGCAAGCAATTGTGGCAAACTGTTTGGTGCCTACAGACAATAAGATACAATCCGCTCAAACAAGCTTTCTCTTCAGGGTGGCCGGACACTCCCCTTGATAAATGGTCATATGGGAGGGGCTTGGAGTAGAGTTGATTCTCCTTCTGATCAAGGGAACTCGTCAAAGGTGGCTCTAAAATCTGTTTTGGATGCCCCCTGAAAGGCTCTCTCAGAAGGTGCTCCAGGCATGTCCCACCCTGATGTGGCCAAGTGAAGGTTTATGCCCATTGGCTGTGCTGGGAACTGGGGACTTTCCCTTGTAGAGCTAGACCAGGTTTCTTGGGAGAAGAAAGTCTGGAAACCTCTGCTGAGTCTGCTGTCTCTGTGAGCCGGTCTTAGAATGGGTTCAAGTATGATTATGAGTTGAAACTTTAACACAATTCGGTGTTATCAACGGAGCTCTTTAGCTCCCTTGGTAACTTGCTTGAATATACCAGGGGACACCCTATTAAAATGTTGTTTATAAGAAGAATGATCAAATACCCAACCAGAATTATTGCTGGCCTATATATATATTTGAGTTTGTCTGTATTATTTTGATACAGACAAGATGCAGACAAATAACATTTTTGCAACCAAGTAATGTTTTTTTTTAGACCATTATAGCAGTTTGATGGGCATTTAATCCAACTTGCAAACTTTACTATTCTTTAAGGCTAAAAGCTAATATAACTTTTATGCCCAGGTGTAAAACTTTTACCACCGCTATAGCTAGAAGACAAATGATAAATTATTTGCACAGTTTGGATCTGTTGTTGCTAACATTCTAATTTCATTTCCAAAATGTCATGCATGTACCCGGTGTTATGTAAATTGACTTTTTATTTTGTTTATTTAATCTTCTACAAAGATCACAGTTTCTATCCTCTTCCTTTAAGAGAGAGTGTTGGTTAATTGGCTTGATAAATAATTTGCAAGCACCGAATGGCAGGAGCTCTGTCAATTAATTACAAAGACAAATCTGTTTCTGTGATCCATCCCCTTTTTATGCATCTTAGAGATACAGAGCATGTAAATCTGATCATGAAATGATCATGAAATGTGTCTGGCTTTGCAGTGCTGTGATAATGCTGTCCATGCTTTAATTTATAGTTTTCTTGATCCATGGAACACATGTTCACAAGATCAACACTGGACAAACACGCAATTATGTGATAATAATGAAGGTTGTGAGGATAAAAATAATGTCATCATTGTGATTTATTGAGATTTGTTACCCTCTTCTTGTATTCCAGGGAACATTGAAGCCGTACTGTGCACTCTGGGACAGCAACATAATGTAAGTGGGCATGTAATGATTTAATCCATGTGTGTGTGTGTGTGTGTGTGTGTGTGTGTGTGTGTGTGTGTGTGTGTGTGTGTGTGTGTATGTATATATATATATATATATATATTATAAGTGGTGGGACTAGATAAAAATTTTCTAGCAAGTTAATTACAGGTCTATATGTATTTGATTGAAATTAATAGCATCTTAATCAAAAAGCATATCATCAACAAAATAAATCAACTGGTGTATGTGTTCAAAAGCATGTGATTAATAGCCTTTCTGAAGACCAACAATAAATTAAACAGATATAAAGTTAAGCAAATTATTTTTATGATCACTGATGCCGTATCTGAATGTCCGCACTAACCCCTAAATCCCTCAATCACTGTAAAGAGTGGGGTCTATATAGTAGACTTAATGGTAACCCAGTTAACTTACCATTCAGAGAGATGATCAATGCCTGTACCATCATTTTTATTTGTTGGCGCCACAAAAACTCATATGATGCTTTGCGAGTTGAGCTCTTACAAATCATTCTGGGATATATCTGCTCGTCTAGTGACCATGAATGTACACTACTTTTCTAAGATTCCGTAAAAATTCAAAAAATATCCACTGGACTTGGTTTCCAAGATTTGAAGACGTTTCGCCACCTCTCCAGGAAGCTTTCTCAATTCAAATGTCTGGATCCGCAGTGAGTTTGAGTCTTATATAGACAAAGCCTTGTATCGCTTGGAAACATGCAAATGGTAACCGATTTGAATTGAGAAAGCTTCCTGGAGAGGTGGCGAAACGTCTTCAAATTGTCCAGTGGATATTTTTTTTATTTTTACGGAATGACGATGACCTGGATGACTGAGAACCTTCATCAGCATACTTTTCTAAGAGCATAGTGGAAAATTTTGAGTCCACGAATTTTTCATCCTATAGTCTGGATACTCATCAAAAATGGTGTAATCACTATATAGTGCCCTATAAAGGGATTTGGGTGGACGTTCAGACACAGCCTAAGACTACTGTTGTACCTATTGACGAAGAGGTAGTTCACCTATTTCTTTTCACATGAATTCATATTTTAATTTGATGTTTTGTTGAAAATACTGCATGATGCATTCAACTAAAAGTTGTGGTATTTTGCTGGTTCCTTTTTTGTGTTGTGTCTATTTGAATTGATTGAAGTTTGTTCGAGACGGGATGCATCTAAAAAGTGCAGAATGGTAGCTGGACTTGGTCACCAATTAAATGACTGTCAAAATATTACCCTCAATCAGTTTAATGTCCTGGAAAAATAGAAATGAACCTGGATACTGAAAGACACTTCAAACCAAACTAGAAAACTTGCAATAAATGGTGACTGCAATGCAAACTGTTTTTCAGTTTCAGCTAACTGTTGTTTAATGATTATACCCACAACTTACACTTGAGTCATTCTTAATCTGCTACAAAAAAACTCAAAATCTAGACTCAAAGGTATGGTGGAGGATTTTCGCAAAAATATGCACATGCACAACCCCATACATGCTCCCGAAAGGAACGCCTATTGAACGTGTGTGAGAGCATGCACGAGCCCATTTCTCATCGAGAAGGTGCGGGGACACAATGATAAGACGGTCGCTCGGATGGATTTCATCTCACCCATATTTATATATAGCATGACATGCTTTTATGTGTGTGTGCCCAAGTTGAAATGTGCAGGGTAAATAAAAAACTGTGGCCACCTTTTGATAATTACCTATAACTACTAACAATGCAAATTACAAAATAAATAAACGTATCTTCCCTGGAAAGTTACAATATTGAGGTAGATTACGCTGAAAATGTTAAGTAGACGTACATTCAATTAGGTTGAGGAATAATGATTTAAATTCAATACCTGCAGCATTGTAGTGGTATAGCAAACTGCATTGCATTCATGTATTGTTAAAATGTTATTTCCCCTCAGTAGACTAGAAATACAAAAAAGTATTTGTTGCTGCCTCAATACTAAATTAAATCATATTTTTATAGTTATCTCAAATTTAGATTGATACATACAAGGTTTGATTATTCTAAAACTTCTCTTTATAGGGAATTACCTGCCTTCAGAGGAAAAGCAATTTTATATTATAGAATACCACAGTAAGTTTGTATTAAGAATTGAATAATTCATCAATAGATTGTAGAACCTGGTAGAACAAAAGGGTTTAAATTTCATATTATTTGTGTAACATATTTTATAGCTGATAATGTAAACTACATCTTCAAGCAGCATCTGAATTCAGCCTGCTTTGTTCTCTCTTGCAGTATTTGAGGGCAACTAGTCTATTTTTGAACCGCAAAGGTACAACTAGGACAATTCGTCTCCGTTCTTTTTATGACTCCCGGACCATATGCTTTCAGATCAGCTTTTTTTTCTGATCTACAATAAGTCATTCTAATCAGAGCGCTGAAAGACTCCACAGGACTGTAATCATCTTCATTTCAAACATTTGGCACTCCTCATTACCCAATAGCAAACGCTCTCAAGACCCAATGATGGGACAATGTACCATCTGTCAAATACTTTGGTTTAAATCATATCAGGGTGCTCTTTGGAACAATTAGAAAAGTAAAGTAAACCAAACCAAACGCAGGTAGTGGATCAGCCTAACAATGATCAATTTTATTTAGACTTGAATATAAAAAAGTTTGGAAATTACTTAATTAATAAGCTATTACTAATAAGACCGCAATCAGACGTTACCTACTCAGAAATGCTGGACAATTGTAGGATCCTGAAAGATACAGATTTATCATCTTTATTTATTTTACTTTTTTTGTTATTCATCGATTTTATGTAAGCAATGTCCTTATTGAGTGTAAGAGCACACTGCAGCGATAAAGCTCCTCAAAAACATAAGTAATAATGATTGCTTTTATTGGTATAGGTATGTATGAGGTAGAAAAATGCAAACTGCAGCTATTTTCTTTATTATTCTACATATTACGATAAATCCTAAAAAAAATTAGGCTGTATATCTTTTTCCTTTTTGTAAAAAAAAAATTAAAAATAGCTATGAAACATGTTTAAATATTTTGATTGGTCTCATCTATATGCTTTCCTAGATGGCGACTATGAGAAAGCTTATGGATTAACCTGAGACATCCCCTTTGTTTTTTAATATCCCCCTAAGTCAACACTACAAATAAACAACCTTTTATTACATGTTTAAATGTCAATGTTTTTAGCTCTCAAGCCATTTTAAGAGTCATGCCGGAGGAAATAAAAACAAAATAAACCAAAACGTGACCATAAAAGAAAAAATCATATCACCTTAAATGCTACAGCTGTGAAGATTTAGATTTTAACAAAGCATATAACACCAAAGGAAAAAAAAATTGTCTTCTAGTCTTCTAGTTAAATGCCACATTGAGAGAATGGTGCTAAAATCCATTTTGTGTGTAAAAGTTAGCCTTTGAACAACCTCTTCTTCCAATAACATATTTCTCTATGCCACATGTTTTCTATCTTTAATGTTTTTTAAATATACAGTATGCATTAGTTTATGATAAAGGGAAAAAAGATTGAAGACATACATTTTCTAATTTTTAGAATAAACAGACTGTCAGACGTTCATCCTTGATTATTGCAACAGGGTTTTCAAAGGTCTGCCTAAAACGTCAGTCAGACAGCTGCAGTTGATCCAGAATGCTGCTGCCCATATCCTCACCAAAACTAAGAAAGTAGAGCACATCACCCAAGTTCGAAAAATCGTAATATGGTCCCCTCATATTTTTAAATACACTTTAAAATACTTGCTCTATAAATCACTGAATGTCTTAGCACCAAATTACATTACAGACTTGTCAGTCTATGAACCCCTAGATATCTTATGTCTCTGCAAACCCAGAATCAGAACAAACATAGAGAAGCAGCTTTTATGTTTTATGCTCTACTACTCTGAAATAAACTCCTGGAAACCTGTAAAAGCGGTGAAACCTTAAATTGCTTTCAATAGAGATTATACTGATATGTTTAGAGGGGCCTTTGACATTTCTACCTAAACGTAATTAGTTAGGTTTCAATCCAACTTTCAGTTTTTGTATCAATCATTTATTTTTTTTGCAATATAATCATCTCATCTGAATTATTCTTTTTTATTCTCTTTATGTATGTATTTTCCTCTATCCCAATGCAGTGTACCTCTCTTTTTCTTTTTTTCTCATGGACAACCACTAAAAGGTGCTTTATGAATAAACCTGCCTTGCCTCACTTTCAGTGGTCATATAGTTCATAAATGAAAACTTTCCTTTCAAAATTTCTTTATATTATACAATAAGCCATCATGATCAAATATTAGATGGAAAAAGACAGTTAAATAATAGAACTGCTCAGGAGATCATGAGACAAATAAAAACTTGCAGGTAAAGCAAAACAACAGTTGAAAAAAATAAAAGAAAATATACTACTGTGAATATATCTAACACTTCAACATAATTAAATAAAAATATTCAAAGCACAAAGGAAAAAAAAAAAACAGTAGAGGAGGCATGAAATCCTGGCTAGAAACAGAAAAATCATCTAAGTATTTTAATACTTGACAACTGATGAGAAACAGGCAGGTGCTAAAGATTTATGAGGTGAATTGAGTTTGTAGAAAGGATGATGGACCATAAACCCAGAAAATAACTAATCATAATAAGGCATGACAGAGAATGAACAACTGGGAATAAAATAGAAAACCAAGATGCACAGAAACCATAAAAAAGAAACCATGATCATCATGCAGGAAAACAAAACAAAAATAAGGTACAAAAAAGGTGACATTGAAAAACTGATCGTTTTTATACAAGAAAAAAAAATGTAATGTATGCTTCACTGCTATTTTCTTCTTGAGAAATCAAATCCTGTTAGTCATTAATATTGCAAGAAGTGAAAGCAGCAGTCTCAGCGTCAGGTTCCCCAAACATCTGGAGATCTTGGACTTGATCCAAACAGGTCACAACACGTTATTCTCATTTTGATAAAATGATATTCAAATTCCGACCTA